ATAATTTCAGAAATACGTCTTAATCCCCAAAATAAGCGTTAATTATTGAAAAAAATCCAAATGGCAACTAACATTTTGACTATAGTTATTGCCTTCTCGTTGATATTTCGTGTCTTTTTCCCACTACGGGGCTACTCGCTAGATGCTATTGCATATTGTCGATTACAAGGAGAACCTTTTTCCTACTTTTCCAGACTGCTAACCGCTATACTTTTAGACCGACCGATAAAATATTCAAATAGATGCGCGAAGAAAATTTGTACAAATAAACGTTGTGTCGAAATTCCATTCTGCTTCTACTTGTACAAAATATAGGTACATTTTATTACGGAGTAGTTCCCGAAAGACTGTGTAAACGGATCGAAATGGATGTACAATAATTTCAAGGGGCAGATAAGATAATTTTCTCCCGTAAGGTCGGCAACCCGGATAGCAGTTAGTTTCGTTTGGAGGTCCGATTGCAACTGGTTTCGGTGTCGTCCGATTAAACGGTACGTAGAATCCGTCTATACTTCGGCAACGTTTGCAGTTTACAATGATTGATTGCAGGGTTTGGAAAATTTGGAACCGATTCACTATTTCAACTAAAAGTCACTTTTTTCGTTTATCACTATTTTCGCAAAACGTCACTAAGTCTTGGAAGTTGTTGTTACCGTATTTATTCAATTTTAATGCGCATCCTTTTCGACTTTTTGAGAGCTGAGAAATGAAGCGCGAATTAGAATCGAAGTATAAATGAGGAACTCGAAAGTAAAACGTGTTGACAGTATCGTTTCCAATATTATAGCGTGTTAAACCTGTCGGTGAAATCTCTTCAAATTACAGTTATGGTTAATTGACAAACCAAACCAAATTTAGCTTTCATAAAAACAATTTTTTAATGAAAACAGGCCCGACGGATCACTATTTTTAAATTAGTTACTTTTTCTCGACTATTTTGGTGATCTACCACTATTTTTCGCTCTTTCTGTCGCTGCGAGCTACGTGGCATTTTCGACGCCAAGTTGCCACGCGTTAGCATACATCATTAATTAATTAATGTTTGAGAATGTAAGTCGCGCCATGGATAACGTGACCGTCTATTTTTCCTCAAAACGGGACATTACTAATTTTTAGGTACTTTTTTCCTTTCTTTTTTACTCTTTCCTTCCTGTGGGTACTAAGAGGGCTTCTTACAGCAGGCCCATTATGGGTTCGGCCAGACCCACAATGGGGCGACCGGGTGGTGAGGGACGGGGCCCGACATATCCGAACGGACCATCCCCCAAAAAATTCCTAGGGATTCCTTGACCCGTCCGGATTCGATCCCGGGTCCCCCAGAGCGGTAGGCTGTTACATTGACCGCTCGGCCATCCGGCCGTATGTGTATTCAAGAAAGCGCATGTTTCTTCACAGTTTTTATTAATGAAAGGAACAGGAATGAACACGTGAAAATAAATAATTTATGTAGTCTTATATTTTTCTGAAGAACAAATTTGCTTGAGTATTTGGTATTGATTTCAAACAAGAATGAAATTCTTGGCGGGATTTCTAAAAATTTACTTTGGTAATTAACATTGCTTTAAGAACTGCGACTTGCAACTGTTTTTTTCGCTCGTCCATAACTTATTCGTAAAGGAAAAGACACTTTCTATAGGTGCATTAGTGTCGGGCGGACATAAAATATATTCAATAATTATACAAAAGTTCATACGAGTTAAGTTATTGGTGTGAAAGTGTTTGAACAATTGCGTCCAACAACTTTCGGTCGAAATATTCCCGGTGTTCCATTCTGTCACTTTTTGAGGTGTAATGTAGTTAGAAATAAGTGAATACTCATCAAATACTTCTGTATCTTGGTTACAATTAATAAATCCCTTTTCAATCAATACATCTATTACATTTATTGAATTTCTTCCCACGTACGTATTTTGGTTAAATTAGCCCATTCAAATATTTCTAATTTTTCAAAGAATAAAGTCCACTGCTCCATGTTCCAAATATCCTTTGCTTATTTTATACAACTCGGCAGCTGTCGTTTTCATATATTCTTTCTCAACATCACTGCGAGAAAATGGCTGCACTTTCTTGCAATTTTGTCATTAAATTACGAACGGAGCGGGGAAGAAACAGAGTTCTTTCTTTCTAGGCCGAATTGTCTTTATTTCCTTTGTGACTTCAATTACAGAAATTCTCTGACCCTTGATCTTTAACACAGCTTGATGGAACGTTGCTGACTGTGCGTGTATAAAAAGAGTTAGGGTTTTCAAAAAGGTTCTCAATATGTTTGGACATTTATCGATACTCAAAAAGTAGTCTTTTAATGGCTTGTAGATTCAAAACTTTCAATAGCAGGCGTAAGCGCGAGCCACCTGGTTTTACTAGGCCTATAGTCTAGTAATTTGCGACACTCTGTCAATTTCATTACAAAATTCTGTCAGAGCTTCCACGCGAACACTAGATATAAAAATGTGAATATATTTTCATAATAACGCATTCAAAGTCTACAGTTTTAATCGCGTTGTGAATTATGTGAGCTCCATACCCGATTCCTATCAATGTTCTTCCGAGAGATAAATTTAGTTTTGCATAAACATTGTTGATGCCTCGTCTTTATAATCCGCCAAAATTGCAGTTATTATTATCTCCACAAAATGCCACGATTTTTGAAGTCAAATTATTTTCTGTCAATACAGTACTTTCATTAGATAACTGACAATAACGTCTGACGTTTCGCCCAGTTGGTCTCGAAATTCTAAAAGTTTGCCTTCGTATGGTAAAAAGAAGCGAACTAAAACAGGGAATATTTTCTTGGACCCGTCGTTTGAAGCATCAGTTAAATTAATGTAATAATACAGTTGCATTCGCCGAGGCGATCTTTTAATTCACCTATAAATTGGCGCTTACACATTTACAACAATAGCTTATGTTTCGTACGAGCACATCTAAATTTCTGTTCAAAACACGTTTAAATTAACTTAGAAATACAATCGTTTGAGAGAAAACCGTGGTTCTCTCGCACCGTATGATAAACCCAGGCGCCTTCTGTCGAAGTTGATGAATCCGTTTTCTCAAAAAAATTAAGCGTGGAAGAACTCGAAGCGGCAGCAAGATAGGAATTTTTATGTTTTTCTAATCTTAAATGTTAGTTCGTATCGCTGGCACCTCCACGAGCTATGCTAAATTCTGTACGACACTTTTCACATATGACGTCCGATGGAGTACTTCTTTGCTTTATAAATGGGTACTTAGTTTGTAAGTTAACATTAAAAGTGAATTTGCGTTTAGGCTTTGTTAAAATGGAGTGTTCACGTACAAGAAATTTAAACTGACTACAATAACAAACATAGATAAAAAAAAAAATAACAATCGTCTACGCCTACTCGCAACCGAGGAGCGAGCGAGCTACCAGGCTTCCGATCGACTTACGTGTGTGAGACGTATTGCCACACCATCATCGCTGCGCTATTAGACGCTTCCGTCGGATAATTTTTTTGATTTTTCGCGCCTTTTTCCGAAATTGTTACCGCGGATTGTTCTCTTTCTGAAAACGGGACATTTCGGCGTCCCGAAGCCGCGCTTGGGACAAGGGGATAGGCTATCTAAAAACGGGACGAGTGGTCACGTAATCTTACAGGTATTCCCAAACTCCAAATTAGCATAACGCCATGGACTTTCGTGCACCTACTTTTCTCTCGGTTTTCCGCCGACGCTTTCTTAGTCTTTTCTGCTCTTTCCCGTGTTTCTGCTCAACCAAGTATCGCTTTGTACTAGTTAAACAACGCTCTTTCATTTTGTAATTGGACTTTTTTCTCCTATCTCCGTTGGTTTCTGAATTAATTTTCTATGGTTTCTGTATTTTGCTACTAGGAGCGTTAAATGGGCCGCGCACGGTCACCTCCTTATAGGTGCTAATTACTTCCGCAGCGCTACCACAGGTGGTTTAAAGGTTATAGGGGGTGTGTGAACTTTTCTAAGAATCCCGTACAAATTCGTATAAAGATCAACACGCGGTATTTCGAATTACGTTTTTAAAATTAAAAAATACAACTCTTCAACGGCGTTAACTCGAAACCTCGTTATTTATTTCTGTAAAAATATTTATATAAATTATAAAAACGAAGTTTTATTATTATGTATAATTTGCACATATTTGGTAACAGGTGCGTTTGTTTAAAGTCGATTCTTTTTTTAACCGCCCGCAAGATGGCCTCCAAATTTTAAAAAGGATAAAATATTAAAAATTGGCACCTTTCCAGATATACGATACGGAATAAAAGATTCAATACATAAGAATTTATTATTTATTATACACGGAAAATAATTAATAAAATAAAACTAATGTTAAAAATATGTATATTATTTCTACTTAATAAAATACATCGTTCACGAGAATTTCAAAGCACGTTGTACGTCTTCGTTGGAGAATAAAAATAACGAAACAATTAAATTAAATTTTAAATAATAATTATTGTTATTTAATTTAAACTAACGATTTAATTTACGAAAATAAAATAACGATTAAAATAAAAATATAAATTGTAAACGAAAGCGGATCACGTGACAGCCTACAGCCAATCGCGTCGGCGACGTGCGAAAAAGTTCGTCTGTTTTATTTAAGCGAGCACGTGCTTTTTAGTCCGAAGTAAAATTTGTTCTTCTTTCCCTTAAATATATTTATTAATGGGAGGAAGAAAGAAGAAAATAAAATGGAGGAAATTATCTATAGGTAATATATTATGTAAATTCTTTAATTATTTTAAATTTTACCTATTAAAATTGAATCTATTAACTTTGGTCTAAATTCACTCGATTTACACAAAATGGTGCCGAACTTAACAAAAATTAACCTTTACAATACCTAGTTAAGTACATAAGAACAATACTAAATTTAGGTTCACCTTGGCAAACGAACCAAGTTATTTTTATAAATGCCAAATGGAAAAAAATGTTTGTATATTCTCTTATATGCGAATTATGGTAAAATTTTCTTAAAAAATATACATATTCGAAAATATAACATTAAAAAACATACACACGGCATTGTAATAAATAGAAGGAGAGTCATTTTCGCGAGATCTAAATTTAGGCATTTTGACATCATTCCCCTCTTCCCATGGTAGAAAGCATCCGCGGTTTACCAGGCTTGTAAAATTCGATTTTAACAAATATGCAATGGAGAAAACGTCGTAAATTAATATACGTGATCGGTTCTGGTCGCCACAGTTTATTAATGAAGTCTTTTCGTTTACATTATCCAGATAATGTACTTCCTACCGGGAGAGAGGACGGATCGTGCCATCCACTGGAAGGTAAATCAATGTTTTCGTTAATTCTAACGCCGTTTTGTTTAATTTTTGTATAAATTGTACTTTTTAATACTTAACTCGAATATTAATATATTTAAAAAGATCTAAAAGTATCGGTTCTACGACGAAAGTAAGTTGTTCCGTTGCAAATACTTAAGTAATGATTAAGTAAGGCCGTAAACTGTACGCGAAGTTTAAAAGGTTAATTAAGGATATTTTAAAATAACCGCGTAAAATTTTTCACGGGGATACAACTTCTTTGTTTATAATGAAATTTTAAATAATTTTATCAAAATTTATTACTTAAACTTTAATATTTCGTTTCGGATTGATACGTTTGTTGTCCGTATAAATTACAATTATTAATGGGCCTATTATAATTGTATGGGATTTGAAGTGTTTCTAAATATAACCGTGTCAAGAACCTAGGATTAAAAAAAAACTCGTAGATCGGCATTTAGAAAATTATTGGTGACTTAATATTTTGTTTCCCGTTCTTTATTTTGATACTAATGTAGTGTTACGAAGTTACACCGAAAGTTTAGGGGTCAGAGAATTCACGATCAGGCGACTCGTTAGTTTCTTACGCTTTTACGATTCGAAGAATGGTACCTATTTTGTTTTATTTAATATTATAGAGAATGTATCCACTGTATCTGGGAGTCTAAACATCCTAAATATTCTATTCAAAATTTAGTTAATACCAACCTAAATAGATCCAATTATTTAAACTTATAATTTTTTTTTTTTTTCATTTTGTACGAGTATATATCCTACTTACTGATAGGTGAATAAATCGTATCGAAAGAGTTTTTAATTATTTAAGTAAAAAAAGTTTACTATTTACATAGAATAATTGAAAAATTAAATAAAAAATTACGATTTACATTCATTTATTTTTCTTTCAGAATCCTCGAAAGAGATTTCCGATATCAAAACTGTTTTAAACACATCTGAGAATAAAGGTAAATTATTTAAGTAAATTCTCGTAAGAGTATACATACATAAATTAATATATAAATTTAAAAAATTGCTACCATCGATACAAAAAAAAGAAAAAAAAAGTTATAAATTGAGCGCAAGAATAAGAATAGTTTAATTAAAAAATTAACATTTAAAGGTTTATAGTTTAAATAATTTTACAATAAGAAAACTATATTACGATCATATAGCTTCCTCTAAACATTTTATACAGTTATAATCGTCGTCATCATTATTATTATTATTCTATATTAATTACTAAAATAAAGACTTTTGTTTAAGAAGTTATTCTTAATATTTTTTAGAAGCCTTCTCCGATATTCCAATAGATGGCGAACGTGTAGCAGATAATAGAATAATCACTGGATGTTACGTAAATGGTTTGTATAAAGAACAGGTCATATTAATTTCCTCTCAGAAAGGATAAAATTAAAACGATCGAGTAATTAAAGTGATCTATAACTTTAAAGCGTTAGTCTCGTTAATATACAGATATATCTTTTCAGGGTTATGGATGCCTGTTGATTTTGACACGGCAGCAACGTTCTATCCCATCTACGCTCCCCCGACAGTTACTCCATTATGGTCAAACGATATGAGTTTTAGTCACTCGAACTTTAATGCGAGTCGCCAGCCGGAAAACTTTCCTAGAAAGAATTACACTTCGTCTCCTTATTGGGCCAATTCTTATTTACAGTGTCCGAGAGACGTGTCGGATGATTTAACGTTTGTTCCTTATTTATATCCCGGATATACGTTCGGACCATCGGTGTATAGCGGTGAGTACTTTGTTAAAAAATACTCTTTTTAATGCTAAAATAAGTAATATTTCGCACGTTAGTAGCAATATCTTCCGTCCGATGACGACAGCTAAGGACGGTCGAGCGTAGATGCTTAATGTACTATTTTGATCCCCGAATGACGTAACGCGGCCCTGGCTTCTGCTTTCTTGTCAATTGAATCACTCGCTGTCGGCTAGAAAATTCACTGCATTAGTGAGTAATATCTCTCTTAATTATAATCAATGTTTATTGGTAAAATTACGGTTCCGAACGCTAACACTTATCGATGTATTAATCTAGTTTTGTGTCCTTAAATGGTACGAAAACCTCGATGGTAATTAGAAAAAAATGTCTAAAGTTATATTCTCGTTAAGCAATATTTAGTTTGATTGTTACTATTTATTTTCCAATAACAAAACGTAATGTATAAAAAGCAAAGAATTGGGAAGTAATCATTAACATTATTTTTAAAGTTTTGGAAGGCGAACAATTTTCGTTTCCGTCATCCACCTAATACATAAATTGTTGCTATATGATATCATTGACCATATGTTTATTGTTTCGACTATTTTTTCAAACAAAATGACTTCTTTTAGTTTTCAATAGCGGAATTTCTTTTAATTTTTAATAAAAATTATCTTTGTTTTATTTCAGCTCCAATAGCGGAATTTCCTTTGCAGGATATAAGAAGGAAGAAAAGGAACAAACGTAAGCCAATAGTTCACGAGTTAAGAGTAAGTGGACTTTTTAATCGCTTCTCTATTAAACGACCGAGTCATAATTACTATATTATGTTTAATTTTATAGCAAATTAAACCGGGAGTGGACGCTATATCGACTCCTTCTTGCGATGTGATCCGATATGCAAATTCTAATAACAAAAAATATTCAGAAAGCGTAATGGATACAGATCGGAACGAAAATTCGGATCAAATTTCGATCGATCCTTCCGTTAGTTCGGGAAAAGTCGACGATAAGTCGACGAATGAAGAGCATATTGCTGATGCACTCGATGGCAATAATCCAACTAGTATTATTCCCAATATAGCAACGCTAGAATCAGAAGTTAATAGTGAGAACAACGCAGATTCGGCACACAAAATGGATGGAGTCAAAACAGTTTCTAGATTTAAAGTTTATCCTTGTTCGGAAGACACTTTAAAAGTTAAAGATGTGGAAGAGAAAACGGAAGTATCGGCCAGTCCACAAACTTCGACGTACTATAATTATTCGGAGAATCTGTTAAGAGAAACCGAATTAGAACTAAATAAATTGAACAAGAAAGCGTTTCAAGCCAACCAAGCCATATATCAATTAGCATACGACGAATCGGTGACGGACGAAGATAGTAGACCGGAGAGTAGAGCCGATGATATAGATACCAGCGCGACTTGCACGAAAGACGAACTGCCGGAAGATTTACGCGATCCGCCGGGCAGTAGAATGGAAATCCAAGTACACGAAATGGATACTGCCAGCGAAGCCGGATCGGAAGATGTGGAAATTTTAGGTCACAGGTACGAAACTAGTGCTTCGCCCGACAAACACGTTTACGTCAATAAACTCTCGTTAGCGGCCGAATTATTGAGAACTAAAGAAAGTTTACCTTACGATAACGAGTTTAAAAGGGTCGTCGATGACGATACGCCTACCATTCAGTTAAAGGAGAAATCGGACATTTGCAGAGCGGATAGTGGAGTACAGTCCGAAGAATCCGGTGATGAAGTTATCGAAGAAATAAAAAATCCGATTATTCAGGTAAGATTAAATTCGTATCAGACAATTAGACAAACAAGCGAAGGCTACTTCGAAATACGTTTCGTACTTGAAATGATAATTTCCTGTGTATTAATAATAATGGATGCATTGAAATCCATTATTATTCATTTACATTGAACTTGTCCTTAGTATTTAATGAAACAAACTACTGTATTCTAAATAATTTCAATAGTTAAGATAGGCTAATTATTAATTAAAGATCTGCTAAACCTAAGATTTTATTTGTATTTATACACATCTCGTAAATGAATTTCCATTCAGAAGAGAAATTTTTGTATCAGGTAAATTGAAAAACATTATAAAAAATGGAAAAGTCGTACAGAAACTTATTAACATAGGAAAATATTCTGAAAATAATGGAATGAATAACATACTAAAGAATATAATTCTTATTAACACAAAATATATGCAGTTTTTTGACAATTTATATTTATTTTAAATTTATTTAAAACGAAACAATTATTTATATCGAAACCGTAATCTATGATCATGGGTATAGGAGTCGGAGAGCCCTCCAAAATTCGGACAAAGCAAGAACAAAAAGATTAGACAGGGAAAGTAAAAAAGGTTAAATTATCAGATGACATAAAATATTGGTACAGTACCTGCGCTTTCATCTATGTGAAATTTCAGGCAAATCAATCCTCTGTACCCTCAATGAAAGTGTCTCCACATAACCATGTCTTTGGAATATATATATAATGACGACAAACAAACTATTTAATAGACTACTAGCAAAGAATGCCCAGCGTTGCCCGGGGGTTGAGCCGTCCTCGTTATAGGGTAGCGTATATTTCCCGCAGGATGACAGACAATAACTATGCAAAATTTGGTGCATATCAATTAAAGGTGTTCAAAAAAAACCTTTAACACGCAGCTTATTTTGCTACAATACAATAAGCTGCGTGTTAAAGGTTTTTGGAGCATTTTTCATGTATTGCAGTAAGTGCAGTTGGAGATTATAGTGATCAAAGGGGTTGGCAGTTTCGGGGATGAAATCGGGAAGGAGTGAGCATCTGAGTTTTAAAGTAGCGTAGGCCTATATTATTTGGAAATTGTAAAGACTAACTATGCAAAAGTTGTACAGATCACTCAAATGGTTTGGGTGTAGGGGGATGAAATCAGAGAGGAGTAAATGGTTCGAGTTTTATGGTAGTCCATATTTCCCATAGGGTACCAGAAAGTAACTACGCGGAATTTGGTCCAGATCGGTCAAAGTGATTGGAGTTTGTAGGGAAAATGAAATCAGCAGGAAGGAGTGAGGGGCCAGAGTTTTAAGGTAGCTTACGTACATCAGAAAGTAATGAGACTTCCAATTGTCCCTCGACACGGTGTATTTCGTAAAAATTGCGACTTTCTTTTAGGCACGTTACCGTCGATAAGACTTACTTGCACACGTGTAGATATATAACCAGATCCAGACAGTAACAACGTCCATTTCGTCCGTCCATCAATTTACTTCGTTATATAAAAAGTGTGATACGAAAGAGATATACATTAAAAGTTTTTTGTCAGTGGTAAATTAAAACAAAGAACAAGTTTTAAAAGTTAAGTCTTTCAAAGAGTAAGTGGATCCCACGTTTGCGCTCTGTTTGCACATTATTTTTTTATTTGATTTCAAGCAATTCTCAGTTAATTTTAATATATAATTATCGAATTTAGAAAAAAAGGGTATAATGAAAATTACACTAATGAAGGTGTGGATAAAACCCACCGAACGATATTAGTTGGTCTAGGGTTTGTACCCGACTAACGTCGAATTTTCTCACCTCTTTGGCACCTAAGTAAGAGCAAACCAAATCAAAATGCAAAGATAGTTTATAGCATTTACAAAATAAAACCCCGAGTAAACCTTTCTTCTCTACTCTTAAAAAGTAAAATAGTCACTGTATTGACTATTTCAAATATATCGTTGAATAACTGTACTCAAGTTATAATCTGCTCACTATTAAAATCCATCTCGGTTTTAAAATTCATTGGCATATTATTAAGCAGGAGAGCTTATTTAAAAATAGGGAATTTAATCAACAAATCGAAAATAAATTACGAGAATCGTTTAATATCATTATAGATGATTAACTTAGATTCTTTTATATTATATCATCGATGATCCGATTTTATGCGCATCCCATTGAAGGAAAAATTCACCAAGTAAAACACGAGTTTTCGTAACATTTTGGTATCAGTAATCCCATAAAAGTATAAATTAAATTAAAAACGACTGATTTTTAGTTTTATATTAGCTTGTTTAAAAAAATAATTTCAAAATGGAACTAGTAAATATTTCTAATTTTCCTAATTATAAATTGCAGAGAGAAGAGATGTGGAGCACTTATCAAGGAAGACATTATCGACGACAGGTGCCAAATCAAGTACCATATTTTTCTACCATTCAGCGGAACGGACCCTTTTCTCCTTGCCTCTGCTGCGTCGTCATGTAAAGGCACGTATCCTCTTTCGAACAGACAAATATATATTTGTATAACATTTGCATAGCTTTTAATAACAAGAAATTGATTCTGAACATCTGTCTTTTATTAATTTATTTGATTTTATTACTCGTATGTGTATATTATTATTAAATTTATCTCAACTCTTAGAATTGTAGCGCAGAATATACTTATATAATAAAATATTTAAAAACTTTTAAAATAAACTTTTATTTTCTTCTTAGCACTTTTACAGAATGCTATTTTTTTTTTTTTAAATTTTTTTCACTATTCATTCGCCGACAATCTCAAGATTGTAATTTTCACAATCTAAAAAAAAACTTTTTTACCCTTTTTTTTAAAAGGTAAATTTAAAAAGGAAGAAAATTATTTACAGTAATAAGAGCACGTTCGAGGGAACTTTTGCTGTTTCTTTAAATCATTTATAATGTCGAAGTAATGAAAAAATAAACTAATAGTAGATAAAACAATTTATATATTTACATATGTATTGACTGGATTTATCACTCGTAAAACAATGAAAAATACATTGTTGAAACTTGGCGTATCTATTTTTAGATTCTTCGAAATGTTTAACATAACGAAAATAATTAATAATAATAATAAACAACAACTATTGGCACCTGGATATAAGGATCACAAATGAGTTTTTAAGTGCCCGAATCGACGAGGATAATCAAATGATAAATTATGGCACTTATTTTGTTTTAAGCGCGTCATTTTCCTGATATCATCGAGACAAACATTTTACAAAATAGTGATAAATGACTCGCAAAACTCGAGAAATGGAATTCTTAAACATCCGATACCTCGAAAGTTATCGTTTCGTAACGATTTAACCGCGTCGTTCGAAAATCTCAACTCCTGTATTTGCACTTAGGAAAAATATTAAGATTGAAATATGTCGATTTTCCGATATAAACAAAAAAGAAATTATTATTTTTGAGCTTAGGAAGAACGTTTTTTGTGTCGTCGTCTTCCTCATTCGGAAGATCCGGCTGGTCTTTATATATTTTTTAAATAATCTTTTCCAACTAGATTGGAAGATGCTCCTACTCTTCCAACATTTACATCGGTTAACACTTATGTATAAATGTTTAGATATTCTGAAACAAAAACTTTTATTACAAAACTCGATTCAACATGTTGGCTATATGTGTGTGTGTATATATTGTATTAGTTACAGTTTTCCTATAATAACCATTACTTACGTTTTCTTGATTTCAAGAAGTTATTCTCTCTCCTTCGTAAGCGTGATGAGTCACGTGAGCTATTAAAATAATTTTATAATTATTCAAAGTGTTAAATATTAGGCTAATTCTGTTTTTATTCATAGACAAATATTCAAATTTTTATATTGTTTGATACAGACATTTGTAATTAATCTTACGTCAATAATGTCCACGGATAAACGCGGAAAAATATTTTATGCCGAAATTAATGCAATTTTAAATTCATTTTACTAATATTACTATAAAATATTCGCAATGCGAAAATTTTTAGATAATTCAAAAAAGTTTATATACGTGGAAGCAAATAAAACGATATACACGTGACAAATGCGCATCGCTTCGTATGCTTTTCATGAATGTACAGTACTTACGGACACTGCATTATTGTGTCAAAATATCACTCGTGTGTATCGGCGCACAAAAACAATTCGGACTATCGTGTATATGTTTCTGTGGATTGTATTTGTTTTCGTCACGATTAAATAATTATAAAGATCTTTAGAAATCTACGGGAGTTGACATATAGAATCATCCAGCGGTATAGTCCTAAATTACAAAATGCCAGGGCGCTAACCGGCGACCCCGAGTTCGAATCGCCACTAAGTTGCGCTTTGGAGTAAAGCGCAACTTAGTGGCGCAATATCTGCAAAACGGTTTAAATACGCAAAAAACGGTCTACGTATTCGTAATCGGAACAAAAACCTACGCCAGAAGTAATGTTCTCATTTTTTTGGCCGAGGTACAGTACATAGTCTAAAGTCCGACCTAAATGTTCGCGAGAACATCTGGATTGGACTTCGCAAACAACAAGGTCATCGCCCCGCTTTAAAAAAAAAAAAGTACCAGGGTGCCTCCCTGGCAAGACTACAGCCGTAGAATCATCCGTAAGTTACGTAACGCTATTTTAAACTTTTCAACTACCGTCCCATACCCCGTAAAGCTCCGTAACTCGTCGCACGTATTCGTCTTCAAAATTACGTAACGAATGTCTCGAATAATACGCATCACGGGATACCGAACGTGACGTTAATTTATCAATTACGCGCAAAGCGGCGACATCGAAAGCGGGGTCGGATACGCAATTCTTCAGAAATAAATCAGTCTTATCTGGTGGCGAGATCCTAGCATTACGTTTCTCGCCAACACTCGTAACGCATTGTAACGATTATCCACATTACGTAATTTACGGACAGCCTCGCGTTTATAAAACAAAGATTTATTTAAAATTAATGGCGTTGGTTGGCTACGCGCGAGGCTGATATATTACATACAGATTCTATCCTAAATAATAAATTTAATTTAAAAAAATTGAAGAAAGTAAAACAGAACCGCAGCGTAACGACACCAGATAGCCGCCATTATCGTCCGAAATAGAAGTCGCTTTCGTTTCGTGTTTTCGTACTAAAACTTTTGCTACAAAAATTTTAAAAAGATGTCCGAAAAATCCATAAATATAATTGAATATTTTAAACGATAATTTTAACGCTTTATAATCGTAACGAACTTTAAACATCCCGTTCTGTACTATACGTAATACGTCGCCGAGACACACGTCCGTTTAATACTTTCGTGTATATATTTTAATTATTATAAACACACTTACGTTTTATAACGCAGAAAAATTAAACGGCGATAAATTTACATATTACGGTGACTAAAACCTATAGTAGGATGGGATCGGAGTGGTTATATTTTCTTAAACGCCGTTATTTTAAGTTTGTATTTTTTCACCGTACGTATAAATTCGGCGTAACTGCATAAAATGTATTATAATTATATAAATACGCGATTAATGTAACTTATTGTAATTTTCTTAAATTTAGAAATATATAATTCATTCGTCAAATTTTACTAATTGTTATTTACGCGTTGGCTACAAACTGAATATTTTTACCTAATTACTTAGACAAATAGTTAAAATTATATCGAAGTAATTTTACCCGTTAATAAAATAAAAAATTGTTACAAAATAACAAGATTTACGTGTTTTCCTACACGCCGCTAAACTCGACTCGACTTAAATCTTTTTATATTATTATTTATTTTTTCAAAAACAATATAAGATTTTTAATGTTTCTATTTAAGTGTTCCGATTCACACTAAACAAAGTAACTCGGTCAATTTTCTAAACGTTCTCCGAATTCTTTTTAAATTTTTCATTCCATTACAAAAGTCACGAGTTAAATATTCGCGACTGGCGTCGTGGGGTAGGACAAATTTAGCATTTTATTTACATCGCGGTGTCGTATACGAAACTACGATTACGTGACGTTTCTCGACGCTTATTCTTTTATACACCTATAGATTTTAATCGCCAGGTTGGTAAAGACTATTCTAGTTCCTAAAAAGCCAGATCCTATTCGATAATATAATAAATACTAAATAAAACATAAAACAATTATCTTTTCGTTACAACCGTAGGCAACGAGATAATTGAATAAATAATAGAAATGTTTAGTCCGCGTATCGATACTATATTTATATACATTAATACGGTAGCTATAAAATACGAAACTTTAAAAAAAATCTCGGCCGGCTCGAATTTCTCCGTTCGTATTTGGAACAAGCATTCTTTATGTCTTTGAAATTAGTTTATTCGTTCCCTATAATGTAACGCGAATAAATCATTCCATTTCTTCGAAGAAGTCGGACCATTATTTTTAATAATATAAGACATGGCGCGTATTTCTCTGTACAGTATAACGTACAGTACGTGTAGGATAGAAACCGGCGGGTGCCGTTGACGGGTTCGAACTGCGCCAGGAGCAACTTTATATTTTCACAACTCGGATCAATTCTAGTACTTATACGGGGAGAGCTAGCGGCAGGCATTTAAAAATTTTTCATTTTCTTTCGCTTCGAGTGAATTTGGTTTAAAAAGCGATCGACCTAATAATTCTCCATATTGTAAAGTTTTTCATCGACGTAGCCGAATAATTTCGAATAATCCGGTAGAATTTCTCGAAATCCAGTACAGTACCATTTAGTCAAATTGCATTAATTGTTATTTTCTTTAACAGAAAATCGTTACATTCGATGCAGTTTTTATCGTAGAGAGAAAAGTCGCTTTTATTTGTCTAAAAACACTTCTATACGACGATGCAAATCAACGAGAGAAGCGTTATATTAATCTGTCTGTCGTCATCGATTAGATATTCAGTTTATTATACAAAGAACGGAACGTGTCTCTCGAGTATTTACATCGCCGTAATGCGTATAAATATTTTTCGTGGCGATATTCCCAACCCGTAATTAAAATCGAAAAATCCTCGAATTATTACGGTCGAGAGTTCTTCCGCCTCCGTGAAAATCGCGTGGCATTCGAATCCTCGCCAATTAGTCCTAGTTGTTTAGATCGTCGTTCCTCCGCATCCACCGCGGACGATCTCGTTATACGTTCAATTTTCTCGAGGACAAAAGTTAAAGTTAGCTGACGTACTTTACGTGTTTAGTTTTTGACGCTCAAAAACTATCCCATCCTTAAATTATTATTAACTAATTTTGCCCCGTAGCGCGGAGATCTTTTCTACGATTATCGCGGGTTTGGTCGAGACCCTACAGACTCGGAGCCAATCTTCAGCGCCGGCCATCGATACGCTATTGCGTTAATCGACTCGACCAGTAAAAATTATGTTAAACGTTCCACTAAGATAATACGGAATGCAATAAGCGCGGTCTAATTATAGGCATATAATACGCCAGCGAGAGAAACGGAAATTCCCGGTAGTTTCTCTACGAAAAGTCGTTTTTTGGTCGCGTCGACGACGGAGCGGAAGAAGTACAAAATACTCCAATAAATGAGAATTTTCGCTGGTCGTCGACGTATTCTACGGCTTTCCAACCGCCCTTTCAATCTTTTATTAATATATAAGATTTTATAGAATGTAAACTTTATGTTTAGAAAACAACTGCGTAAACAATGATTAGTATTTAATTATTTTCGTATCGACTGGCCGCTTTCGAGAACAAAGATCCCTGGCCTACCCGCCCCTCCGACGACATTAGAAGAACGCTTCTTTCGTTTTGTTACGAAATTTATGACATTCGTCAGAAGTGCGATTTACGAAATTTATCGTCGAAGCGATCCCGATTCGATAACCAAAAATGAAATTTCAACGAGCGACGGAAGCGCGATACGTCTCGGAGCTCTTTTTAAATACGCACACCTACGATGAATACGGATGTATATCGTAATTAAAATACCGTAGCGATAACAAGTTTTTACATTATTAATACTGTATATCTCTTAAATTATAAATATTATAGGCTTTAATTAGTCGCGTTAATTAATAAAGTTACCGTTTTCTACGGGCAGTGGACGAGATAGAGAACGAATGGAAGATTGTTGGCGAAGGGGTTCCGAAAAGGAAGTAGGACGACGACGAGCTACTATTTTCTGTAGAATCGCTTCGATGCTTCAAAATTTTCATTAATAACGCGTAATTTTTTATACGGATCTAAATAATTTACCCGTTCTTTGTTTATTCGCGTATTTAGAAATTTTATTTCGTTTCGAATTAAAATGTTAGTTTAACGGTAAGCCGTTCAAAAATGTAAAATTGCCGCTAGATAGGCCTATTTAAATTATTATTAATGGCCGAACGATATTTATATCGACTGGATAAAATAGAGCGGTGGTCTCCGAAGTGGTAGGCCGAGTGTCCCTTCAAAATACCGTAGACGTGTTCTGTCCGCGGACTGTCTAATCTTATCGTCATCCTCCCCATCACTCGATACGCGGAAAAAATTCAACTGGCGGATAGCGGAAAATTTAGCAGGATTATGTATTTACAGCGGAAATTTGGCATAAAAGCGGATATACAAGATGGAGGAAAGACTGTCGTCTTTAAGCCAAATTTCCATAATTAATTAATTGAATTAGTTTTAACATATTTTAATTATACTTTTCATTTCACTTTCCTGGCTGTTATAGCGTATAACGTAGGAACACTATCGCGATCGACCTATTTTTCTTTTGCATATCTCAACGATAACGCTTCCGGAGCTCAAAAATGTAAAAAGTTTACAAAATTGTTTGTATGTGTTTTTATTTTGCATTATATCTCGAGACTGGAGGAACCAAAAATTTCGAAACTTGGCAGGATTATTTCTATATATCGGGCATCGATGCTATTAAATTTTGGTGATTGAAGGTCGAAGGGTGGGGAGACGAACGGGGTAGTGTGTATCTCCAGTATGGTCAGACTAAATGACAATTTTACTCATTATTAGTATTTACGATGTTTTATAAAATCCATCCCTATCCTCAAAATGAATGTTTTTGCCATTTTATAATACTTAAAAATATAAAAAGTTTTTAAAATAACCAAACGTTGTCGGGAGTGTTAAGCGACTGGTTGCTGGATTTTTTTTAATATGTAAAGCGAAGCTTTCCGGTTAACTAAATTATAATTAAGTTCTCGCAAAGGTAGTCAATTAATACATAATCGCTGTTTTCGACTATCGTCACATTTTTATCTATCTTTACAGAATGTTTCGCTACAAAAAATAATAAGATTGCGGTTATTTTAATCATATTTCTAAAATCGTTTTAAGAAGTAAGAAAGAACTGCATGAAAAATAACGTACAGTACTCTACTGGAGATAAAGACACGGAAATCGACTCTTGACTCGATAACTATATTCGAAATTTTAAAAAATAAGTACAGTTTAGAGACTATTTTTCAAATTTGGATCGGCTTTGGGAATTAACTATCTGGAAATACGGAAAAAATTTTATTCGGTTCTTTGCAAAATTACACCTAATATTAATATAATAAAGCTACACTGGTGTCACCGACCGATCGCCCGACAAGAAACGATTGGATGGAAGTAGACTTCTTACAGAAAAATGAAATAGTACAGTCGAAAAGCGACACCCAGCACACAATCAGAAAAGAATACAATAGTAATAATACGGCGCGAGGATGTTAGACCTTCGACATCTCGTATTATATAACAACTTTCCATCACCTACAAATACTGTATATTTTTCTTTCCTAGGTGTTTACATTTGTTGTCGAGTGTGTGTGTGTGTGTTGGTGTCTATTTCGTTTAATATCTCGGGATGTGCCAAATTTCGTTTCTTAACCTTTACCCGATAACTTGTACGTAAGGGGCATCGATGCTATTAAATTTTGGTGGTTAAAGGTCGAAGAGTGGGAGAGATAGAGGTAGGTCGCATATATGTCGAGAGAAGTCGGACTTAATAAAAATTTTACTCACTATTAACACTTACAATTCTTTATAAAACTCGTCCCTACCCTCAAAATTAACCTTTTTGCCATTCCTTAATGATTAATAATATAAAAGCTATATTTTTAATAACATTTCGTAACAGCGGGGAAAGTTAGCGACTCGTCGCTGGAATTTTTATACGAGTTTTATTCGGCGAAAATGATATTTTTGTCACACTTTTTTACATTATACGAAACACAATTCTCGATAATCGTCAAGAAAGTTTACGAATTTATTTACGATTGTCTCTAACAGTACTTACATCGTCCTACACGCGCCAATAAAATACAAGACAATTGAAAAAGGAAAACTTTGAAAGAATATAGAATTTTAATCGGTCGAGGCGTTAATTTACAGCGAGACGTATCGGCCGGTCACTTTGGTCGGACGAGAACGACACTGGCGATAAGACAAACGTCCCACCCAATTCGATTTCTTGCCAAACTAGATAATAGCGATGGTGCGTATAAGCCTAAGCTTCGAGCTCGGCGAGATTTCTAAGCGAAGGTCTTAAACGAAGTAAATCTTTAATGAAACTACAGAAGAAAAATCCGGACAACGAAGCGGCCTAGTTAATTTTTTCTTCTCTAGTTTCGTAACGACGAGTTTCTTTCGTAAATATTAAGAAGACCCTTCGGTCTCCGCCAATTATTAAATGTACGATTTCGCGTTACAAAACATCGCTATCGCCTAATCGCGCCACTTCCAAACTCGCATCTCCACCTCTTTAATACCGTATATACAGTAATTCTTAATATTTCGGGTACTCGCGCTTATTTCTAATTACGAAGGCAAACAAACGGTAGCGCCAAATCGAATGTTTACGGCAGTTTAAATTTCTTAGCGTAGACTTTTCATTTTTCTAAATACAGTACGTCGTTTAGTGTACGAAACGGCAATTTACGAAAACGGATCGATCGGTTAAACCCTTTCGATTTTCGTCGTCTCTCTCTACACTTTCAAATAAATCATTGGGCATGGGAACAGAGGCGCGACTAGGATGGAAGGTGCCCGGAGAAAATCAAAAAATGGAACCACGGAAACGAAATATATTCTTTAAAATTTCGGTCCATTACGGTGTTTTACGCTAACGTAAAAAAAGTTACGTCGGAACGTTAGAAACGGAAACTTTTTGACTCTGGGTTTTTATTTAGGCTAAATCATAAAATTGTGTCCAGGCACGAGTGTGAAAAAATGTCGGGTGTCATAACTAGGCGATTGAGAAGGAAACCGCGGCATTAAACAGATTTACAATGGAAAGATACTTACGCTTATAAAATTCGGCGAGAAAGATAACGTTAGGCAGAAGTTCTCGTACTTTTGTCATCACCGTGGCTTTTTCCGCCAGCGCAGAATTTACGTTCCAAATCTGGACCAAGTCCTCTTTCTCACGAATACTGATGCTCACTCCGCAAATCTCGTCCCCTTAAATATTCATTTTATTTACGTAAGTAACGCTATTATTCGTAATAAACATTAAAAAAAAGAAATCAAATCTCGCGACATTCGATAAATAGAAAAATTATTATTATTATTACCGTCTTATCGAATTCGAGCGATTCGTTTATATACCGGTTAATATTTAAATTATTCTTCAGAATTTTTATAAAGTTCTATAGAAAACGTAATAAGTTAAGACGATAAAATTATTCTAATTATAGAAATTCGACTTAAATTTACGATAATTGAGATCGATGTACAGTATTATTATAATATATTCCGTAAAGCGCTAAAATTTACGACCGAGCTTCGCGCGCGATGTTTTAAAAATTATAAATAATCAGAGTTTAAACTATCTCTAAGCTAATTATATTTAGATCCTCGCCGCAATTAAATAATTCGAAGAATCAATTAAATTATGGGAGGTAAAACGAGTTTTGTCTCGAAATTAGCTAATTCCGCCGATAGTTTTTAAGGGACGAATTCATTGGCTTAAGAATGGCGAATAACGTCCAAATCGAATTTTATAAACAAAAATATCCGCGTTGAAATCGAATAAGAACTTGTAAGATTTCGTATTGTGTCGTTGGCGTAAATAGAAATACGACGAAGCACTATCGATGCCCTCGGACACATTTACAAATTCGATTCGATCGAGATTCTAAATTACAGAAATTCTAGTTGTTTTTTAGGTGAACCAACCACTTACCAAATTAGTTTTAATATTAGTCTACGATTCTTAAAATCTGAGCCACGGTCGCATTAAGTTTATTACGCTACAAATATTTGTCTAAATTAACTGGCTTTATGAGCCATTCGATTTATTTCTTCCCGTTTAAATTTGAGCGTACGACGCGGAATTCGCGTAAATGTCGATGCTCTTAGGCTAATTCACAAACCATAATCTTATTTGTAAAATCTTTAAAACGTTTCGTCGAACTTTTCCCTAAAAAGAAACTTCCTCTAGACTAGTGGATTCTTTAAGGCTTTCGCCGTTTCGTCTCGGTGCTTAAGTTTCTCCAATGATTATAAAGTTAAAAGTAATTAGAGTAATCGAAATTTTATCGCAATAAAAGACGAATTCGTCATTACAATTAGGGAATATCCGAGATATCGTAAATAAAGAAGACTGACCTGGTGCCACGTGATCCGTAAACTGTTCGCCGATGGCAGCTAACAACAGTTCTTTCCATACGGCTAGCTGAAAGAAATGTATAACCTTATAACTTATAATGGCCATTATAAACGAGTAGCTAACGATTATTTACCGAGTCCCGTTTGGAAATCTTCAACCTCCAAGTTCCTCCCCGTCGATTCTTGTCGTCTTCCCAGAGCGGCCTGCGCTCGTCTCTCATCAGTAAGTAACCGTATTTTTCGCCAACTTCGTTGATAACTGGTATGTTATTATACACGCTCCAAAATCTCTGAATTAAAATAATAATTATTTACATTTCGCTCCTTTTATCCAATTGCGAAACGGTTTAAATCCACCGGTAAAAATCAATGTTTAAACTAAAAACGGTTCTCCAAACGTTCCGTGGTTTAATTGGTTTTATCAATATTAAATAAACGATTTTTAAGTTTGGTTTTAAGCTAGAAGCGATAAAGAAATATGATACTTTTATCGTTACTTGTGTTTTATATTAGGGCAGAGATGTAATCGGGAAGGGACGGAAAGAGCGTATATACCGGGCGTTAATGAGAAAAGACACCGTAAACTCTCCTAAGAGAAAGTAAATAATTTAAAAAGTTACGTTATTCTAGCGTTAATACTGAAAATGGTAGTAAACCACTGTTTTATTCGTCGTTGGTGCGTGCACAATTACGTGTACCGTGTAGTACAATCTCCGTAATCGACACGTAATGGAGATTTAATCCGAAAAAGCGCCGGATTAAGGAGATTTCCAACGTATTGGAAGTAAGATGAACTCGGTGATTAATTATTCAAAAGAAAAAATTTATTTATTTACGTGATATTAGTACTGTACATTGTATCAATTTAAAGCATACGTAGCTCTCTCACATTTTCTAGTTATTCTATCGTATGTTAGCGTATTTTCGAGTTCTCGAATTAATGGCCAATCTTTTTAAAATAGTTTTCAATTGTCTTCTGTCGTTTTGCCCGGCGCGTTGCCGCCGCCGGTAATCGCCTTACCGAGTTAGTGGATTCCCACTAAATTGTGTCACGTATCGCTTAATTTCCTACTAAATTCGGTGGAAAGTATTTTTGGTGGGCTTATTTTTATGTTTATACAGTACTGCGTTATATAAGAATTCAGCGGCTTAAGATAACGGGTCTAACAGTGTTTAATATCGAGCCCAAGCTCAGACTCGATATCGGGTCACGTTTACGGGGAAAACGTTGGAATTTAGCGGAAACTGGAGTTTGAAGTAGTTTGTCTACGACTCGGCAGCGATGCCGGTAATAGCAAAGAGTAGCTAGCGTCGGATTACCGGACACGTCAAACTAGCGAAGACCGGATTATCGAGAGTGCGCCGTATATAAGGCCATTTTAAGCACTTTCGGGGTCCTCGACCTAATTTCTTTACGGGCCACCGCCGCGACGCGCTGGCTGGATTAGGGATACTTTTACATCAATAGATGTTTGAAACAGAGTGTATTAAGCAAGATTCGTTTGTTTCTTTGTAGGCTACGCGTAATAAGGTTTGAATTAAAGTATTATGGAAACGTACCTGTACCGTAGAAACAGTATATATCTTTCTCAAATTTGCTTCGTACTCGGAAAACGATGCGCCTCTTTCGGTTCTAAAACAAAATATTTTTTTAAAAAATGAAGATAATTCGTTAAAAACAACTCGATATAAAAAAAAACGCGCCATTGAAAATTCAACACCCGACTATCGCATTGTATACTTTACACTTTCACCTCGAATAATATCATTGGAGTCATCGCCGCGCAGATAATTCCTGCCTGTGTAAACGGCAAATAAACCCTTCGCAACTCGCTTGCGAAGGGTTTATTCACAATTACGAATTTAGTTTAAAAAAAAAAATTTTAGCCGTTTCTCGCATCGTATAATCTGTACATTTTTAAATAAAAATTAATAATAAAGTATTTTCATTACGCGTCCTATTCAAAACAAATAATTTAACAAAGGCAATATTATCGCAATTAATCTATAGATTATAAACGTGTTATGATGAAATTATTATTACTTCTTCTAATAAAGTTTCTCTTCTTTAACAAAGTACGGGATGGGATAGAGAGCGTGCCAGCTTTCTGGTATCGGAGAGATTTACTCTTATGTAAAAAGGCCCAGCTCGATCTAGTCTCGTTATAACATAAAGTCGGCAAATATAAAATTTAAAAAGCGCTAGGCCCTCGTAGCATAAATCTCTTAAGCTGTTTACTTCTTACTTTAACAATACGTAGTAGTTAGCAGACCCTATCGCCGATAAGGACCCGATTACTAAATATTATTATACTATGTTAAATAAATCAATTAATCAATCCGGCAATGTTTATCTAAAATATTATTATTATATACTGTATATAAATAAAACAATGATGTAATTTTTAAAAAATATATCCGTAAAATTAATTTGATGACGGTGACGATAAAATTAAGTTTTGATTAACAATAATATAATATTGTTACGAGATTTGTAATGGCGATTTGCTTCTTTAATGGCAATTATTTAAATTTAAACGTCGAAATAAAATCAAAATCAAACTTTTGCGTATTTTCATAAATTCAAAATATTATTCTTTACGCAAATTACGAGAACGATACGACGTTCGTTTTTTAGCTGTAATTCATTTCGAATGACGATCGCAAATATCTGCGACGATTACTTAAAAATCGGATGACAACTCCAACGATTAATAATTTATTTTACGATTAATAATTATACAATATTACGCGATTAATCGTCTTTTAAATATTAAAAAAAAAAACAATAAACTTAAAAGCGTGACAATTCTCGAGTAAAATAAAAGACAACAATGACGCAATTGGCTGTAGGAAACGGCAACATAATCAAACCTAACAAGTTCGGTTCGTACGAACGTAATACGAAGAACTATTGGATATCGTTACCCAGCTAAGATTAGATTAACCAATCGGCGATAGCGTAACGACACCCGCTCGACTTTTTAAAAAATCGATTAGAGTAAACAAAGAGAAATCGCATTACGCTTACTTGTCTAACCAGAAAGTCCAGCTTGTATTTAATGGCACGTGTGAACTCTCGTCTTCGTCCTCGCCATTCGGTATACCCGATTCTTTCGTGTTATGGTCGGTAACCGACACTTCCTCGACAAACACTCCATCCTTCCTCCTCCCGTCGTCCGCTGCCATTTTCCAACAGCAACAGGCCTCAGCTGACAACGCGTGACGTCACTCGCTCCTAATAAAATTATTTAAATATAAACAAGAAAGTTTAATGTAAATAATTACGCATTAATACTTTTAGTCAATTAACGCGAATTAAAAAATTCAAATTATTTTATAATTATCCTCTATAAAGTATTTTATCGACGATAATAGATTTTTTTTATAAAATTATTCGTTCGTTCGTTCGGATAGTCTTTAACGTCAAAGCGACGTCATTTATATATTTTTTTCGTTATAAAAAGTAGGAAATGACATCAAATTGACGTAGCGTACGCAATTCGCAATCGAACAGAACAGAACTAAAACGAGAGTATTTTAGTAATAAAACCAAATCATTTTCGTAATGTTTCGATTCGAAATCCTATAAACCTCGAACCGGGTTTGGTCCACGGGGATACCGGACTTTCCCGGGTGGGCCGTCGTCGGCAAAAAGCCAACCGACCGTCATTTAAAAAATTAATACAAATAATAATATAATAAGAATAAATTACGACACTAATGTTAATTTTTTGTCGACGCGTTAAATCGAGACCCCTTAAATCTAGGTTTACAGTAAAACCTAGAGACGTTTGCATCGTGCAGAGATCCGCCATTTTGGAACTGTAGCGCTGCTCCGTGCGCGTTGTTAAAAGACCTTCGGCAACGAAAGCGGCGGGGTACTCCTCGGCGCCGAATTTAACGAGCCGTATATCGAACAAATAAGTTTACAAAGTACAATACGATTGCTAAGAGACGAGCTAGTGAAGTTGTCAACCGTACAGAATTTCAGTTTTGATAGTAAATGTTCCGAAACAATGAACGAGGGATATCGTGCGCGCGATTATTTAGCTTTTTATTTTTCTCTCTGCCCCATAAACATTGAGGGTCCGTTTTAATCGTACCCATCGCGAATTCGGCTAGGCCCCTTACGAAGACGGCGAAAGATGGGGTCCGACGTACGCGGAACTTACGCCGGCCCGAATTATTAACACCACCTTAGATGTAACGTACTTACTATTTGAAGCGTTTAGGAGGAAATCAGTCTACATTCTCGAATACGTAATCGGAGAGAGACATAGGAGGAGGATTAAACACTAACCTCCGGACATTTTATAATGGGAATTGTAAGTGTTAATTAGGGGAAGTGCGGGTAACCCCGGACATTTAAATAAAACGCACAAAAGATATAAAATAAACCGAAACGTTTATTTTCAAAGTCAAAATATGTTTTAGAACTTCGTTAATCATGTTATTAACACCGGAACCATCTCTTAATCATTTAAATAATAATTATCGTATACAAAAACTTTAGCTTCTATTTTTGGCAATGGAAAAAATGGCGGTGGCCCCGGACGTACTTAATAACGGCCTAAACGTTTTTAGCCTCGCAAACGTCACAATAATTATTATTTGACGGATCAATGTCGACGCGAGCCCCATCTTTACATTTAAGACATTGAATCCAGCTTCTTGAAAAGCCCCTCCGCAAATGATGCATTCTGGTTCTTGATCGTGATCTTCGTGGAAAGACTTTGAGCATTTAGTTTTGTTTTAGATTTTTACCTTTTAAAGCTTTCTTTTTCTTTTCTGTGTTACATTTGGATATTTTTTCTTAAAGATGTAAAAAACTTTTTCCTGCCATTCTCTTCTCTTTATTAAATCGATGCGGGATTTTTAGATTTTCTGCTAAATCGAGCGCCAATTTTAAAAATTCCAATCTAGTTAGTGGCATTAGACTGTTGTCTAGTTTTTTCACGCGTTTATTAAGTTGCATCGAATAGTATCGGGAAAATGCGCAATTAAAACGACCTAACTTTGGTTCGAGAATTATCGCGGTTCATTTTTTTCATGGAGCCAGCTTTTTGGCACATCGTATCTCTGGGCTGCCGGTCTTATTGATAACTCGCCTTCTCTGACACATTTAATTGCTTCTTTCATTTTATTTTTGTTCCACTCGCTTCTTTTACCGGTTCTGCCATTAAATTTTGGCATTTTTATGCCAGTTCCTTAAATAAATAATTTTAATACATTGCTTAATTGAGATAAAGGTAATTGCACAAAACTATTCTCTGTTTGTTAAATTTAAAACTTAGAAGTGTCCAAAGGTACCCGACAAACTTGCGCCCGGGGTTACCCGATTGCTTAGATTCTGCGCTTTCGTTAATAGTAATCTAATATATAAACGAAGATGTTCGTTCGTTCGTTCGCTATACGCATCTAAGCCATTCGACTAATTGCTACGAAACTCTGCAATTACGTTTACATATTTTTAACTTAGATTATGTCGTACATCCCGCCTCAAAATATTTATTGAATTTCTATAAATCAATTAATTTCGATTAAATTCAATTTGCTCATTTACGTGTAGTGTCATCTATTGGCAAAAAATTAACAAAATAAACTAAATATAATTCTTAAAAAAGATATTTTAAAAAAATGTATATCGCATTCACTTAATTACTGCGACAGGTAGCGTATAGCACTCGCCACTCGGATTTTTTCATTCTGAACGATACTTTCTTAAATTAATAAGAGTCCTCCAGTACCCGAATAGATAAAACAACCGAACACCGGTAGTTTATTCCGGGTTTGGGCGTGGCCAACGGCTGGCCACGCGCAGTTTTCCGGGATTTTTACACGCTAGTAACATCCAAATAGGGGCCGGCTTTACGTAAGTCTTCCTGATGCATTTCCCTGGGTAGATCACTCGCGCGTGGCGTTGCCGCCAGACCAAATAGATCAAGCTAATTCTAACAAGTAATTATTTATTGTGACATCGACAAAACGAGAGGCTGCAACTTATCGTCACAATGTTCTCAATTCATTCGGTGGTGGTCTCGCCCCCGCGCATCATACTTTTCCTGTTTGCAATGGAGTCGTGCGGGTTATCTATTTAACTCCGTTCAGGGGAAGGAGACTTTTGAATACAAGTAACGTGAGTTTTGGTCCAAACCGTAAAATATGTTTTAAGCAGTTTTCGATGATGCCGAGTTTAAATATTTGGTCCGTTCTTCGCCAAATTTGATCGGTTGGCGGATTATCGTTTGTTATTCGGCGCGAATTGCACAATTTCTTAGAGTTAACATTAGGAAAAACAATGATATCTTAAAAAATTTTAAATATATTTTCAATTGGTGTCCACTCGACCGATGAAATTGGGCCATTTCGTACCGTCCGAGTATGGCGATAAAGGTGACAATAGTAGGCCGAAATAACCAAACTCTTTGTATGGTTTTCGTTTTAATATTTGTTATATTATAGTATTCTATTTATATTTACAAACGTAAGGGTTTATCACACCGAGTGACCGATCTAACGCATTTTAAAATTCTTTATTTCCCTACTGTACACAATTTAAAGAATTTTAATGTGTTAGATTGGTGACTCTCACATAAGATAACCTTTGCAATTATAAATCAATTACTATATTATTATATTATAGGGTTAAAGTACGAAATAATCTAATAATTTTAATCTTTGTTGTTAGTTTTTGTCCCAGCAACGTCGGGCTCATCCGCTAGTTATATTATAAATGGAATCAAATAAATACTATTAAATCGTAAGATACGTTTAATCATCGATAACGTAATCAATAAATCGAGTCGAAATACTTACGTTTTGTACGCGATATTCTTCTTCGAAGTTCGATAGAAGCGGATGAAAAACTGTCGACGGGAACAAAACTGGTCGGAACACGTAACTCGCTGGGCGTCACGTCACTACTAATTTGCATCCGTTGGCGGGCGTTATATTTGATACGCGCTTCGATGCTCGGCAGTTGGAGTGTCTTTCGAGATAACGTCAAACGAATAAGGTATAAGGGAGATTGGTCGAAATTGTCCATTCCGGAAATAAATTAGCATTTTGGACATTTTTTATTTCCAGTTTTAAAAGTAGCCTGTACAAAATAAAGTAAGGATCGCGCGGTGATCGAAAGTCGGGATCCGAGAATCGACACGCTGGCCGAGTTTCGATATTCACCAAAACGACTAATCGATGGATAAAAGAATATTTTTAAAATGTAAAAATGATTTTTATTCCTTCCAATTAGTCGTCGATTTTATTATTATTATTTTCTTAGTCCGAAGCGAAGAATCATTTTTAAGTTTTTCGTGTCGAACAAAAAACGATGGCGGCCGGTTGGAGAAACGAACGAAGAACAGCTTACGCAAAAACGATATAAATAAGCAGTCGGACCTAGAAAAGTTTAACCGGTTTTAATCTTAGTTTTCTTCGCTACGTAATTCTTTAACAGCCAGAATTTTCTCTGGCGGTAGCGGATCGGGTTTTAATATTCCTTGTGTCCGCGAGAGTCCCTCTCGGATTAGGGCTGTTTCACACTATGACCGACCCGACCGATTTTATAATCGGACCGACTAGTAGTAAAAGCATTCACACTAAATACGATTATACGTCGGTGGCCGACTCATAAGGACCAATCAGAACGCGTGTTATAGATCAATACACTAGCCAATCGTGGTAAGTTTTTTAAATTAAACAGAAAACATGGCCGTCACGGAAAGCGATCGTGAATTTAGATATATCGCGTCATTATTAGATTAGTCAATCACATACCTACAACGTTTAGTTTCTTGAAAATCTCCGACAAAGAATTATTTTTTTATGTTGTCTTTATAATCGGCTGGCCGAATATCATAAAGGCACGGATATGTTCTGACTTCGTTTATTAAAGCTTCCGAGAAATCTATACTTTCCGCCATTTTCTAACTTCGACGTAGATTGGATAAATCTAAACTCTGATTGGTTATAGCTTCGAAGCTCTCATTGGCCGTAGCTCACCGACTGCTCCGAACCGACTACAAATATTTAACTTTTCAAATCTGTCCGACTGAAACGACTAGTCGGTCGGCAGACTGCTGTTGCCATGGCAACACGACTCGGAGTCCGGCCAGTCGGTCATAGTGTGAAACAGCCCTTATTCGACGGAGAGAAAACGCCATCCGGGGCCTGGGTTAATAGTTTAGGGCAGAAACTGCTCTTTCTGTTATTTACACGTAAATTCCCAATCCGAAAGTACACGTTCTTTTCGTCCCGATTATCGAAAGCTCCGAGGGAGAATTTATCCATCCCGTCCGCCCCAGCCACGTCTAGGATCTTCCGACTGTAAATTTAGTGGACGTCGGATTCGGCGCCGTCTTTTCGGAACCGTGGAAAATGTAACCGGAAGAACGCGCCAAAAATTAATTAAAATCCCTCGAAGAATGGACACCTACTAATCGGGAGTGCCCATTTTCAATAATACGTTTACGTGGCGCGGAACGGTCACATAATAGTTTTCGGTCCGGCCCTGGCCGAAGGAACCGAAAAAACGATAGAATAACGAGGAAAAACAGAACGGTCGGGTTTTCCCCAGTTCCTATTCGTAAGACGGGAGTTAAACCCCACGGCCACTGTATGGCTGGACGTTTCCGAGTCGTCTCTATCGCCCGTCGTTACAACCGTGGTCCCGGCTACGTTATAGTCCGGCGACGAATGGCAGACTTTCGGAGTAACGAATTCCGAAGACTGGAAAATAGCGACCGACTAAAGAAATCCTTCTAAAGCCGGACGGCCGTTCCGATAAACCCGGAATCGAATTCGGGTGGGCAATTTTTGCCCGATTAAAATCGATTTTCTCGGTATTTGCGAGACTTTCTACAATTTTAAGCGGAAATTTTCCGGAGCGAGAGTTTGGCGGCGAAAACCGGAAATCGACTCCTTCCCAACTGACAGAGACGATAAAACTGGCAAAATCGCTATATTTAGACCGGGACAAACTTAGATTTTTATTCGTAGTAATATTTAAGTAATTATTTTAAGGACGACGTCGGCAATCCGGACATTTAAATTAACGGTGGCCGGGATAAAGTCTTACGGCCGAGTAAGCTTACATTTACAAATTATTGTATGTTTCTTTCTGCCGACAAATGGCGAGTAATTAAAGTCGGTAAACGATAATAAAACCGGTGGCGGAGAAATTCGGCGGTTAACGGACACCCGATCCCGTCCGAGTAAACAAAGCCAGAGATAGCCCAAGTTCATCGTTTCATTACTCGACCTCCGACCTTCGATTCCCAACGGGACCGACTTTTTATTTTTCCGGTTAATTAAGAAAGAGTTTGGCGTGGGCGCTGTCCGGCCGGACTTTTGTCAAACGAATACTTCGATTCCCGACGTCTCCGAGGATATTTGCGTAGAGAGCATCTTCCAGGCTCCGAGCGCGACGGTTAAAATAAGAACGAAGCGCGGCGGCGTCTCTCCCCCCAAGAGGAAGGACCCGTCTTTCTATAAATAGACCGCGCGGGGGAGAGAGATTCGTCCGCCTAGACGGTGGCGCGCGGCGAAATGTCGAGAAGATCGGCCTGTTTCGTCCTTTCGGTGGTCCAAACTGTCTGCGGATGCTGTTTACTTATACTTACGGCGCTGAAGGCCAAATTCCAGCCGCCCGCCCAGCCGGACGTTAATTCTTACGCGGTCGGAGTCTTTTGTTCTGTGGCCGGAATGGTGGGAGCCGCGGCCTACAACCCCCGAAGATCGTCCGACCACAATCGAGTCCGCGTCTTATTTTACGCCCTTTCCTGCGCCTTTCTGCTCTTCTCCTTCGATTCCGTGCAAGGAAGTTGCCCGGATTCGTCCGGGAACGATCTGGACGACGAAAGTAAGTAAATTTCGTTGCTTTAACGGCTAGAGTTTCAGTGGGCGAAAATTGACCGGAGTTTCCCTTAGAAAGCGCCCGATTTTCCCTGCTGCTGATTAAACTGCTGCTGTCTTACGGAACTCGACTGGCGGCCCTACTGGGAGTGGCCTTTTCCTGTCCGGAACTGAAAAGCTTCCTGGCGGAGGAGCGGGTCGACGATCCGTCGTCGTGGGATAAACCGGGAGGAAAGCAGGTAGGACCCGCGCCCGATTTCTTGGCCGAGACGGCATTAGGACGGCAATTTCCGTTTTGTTTTTCAGTACGTGCGACTACCGGAAGCTACGAGACACGTTCAGGAGGCGCAGGGAACGGGCGAGAAGATCCTAGTCGTCACCCTTCCCTTCGACCGTAAGGTGGTCTACGCCGTCCCCGACGACGGTTACGTTATCAGACGCCAGGGAGCGTACGTGGCACCCGCGGGAAACTCCCGACTGACGGCGTTTTTCCCGTCCTATAACAAGTTTGAGACGGACTGACCGACGGACGAGCCGCGGAGAAGAAAGTCAAAACAGTCGACGGATGGAGGAGAGAAAAAACAATTTTTATTGAATTTTTATCTCTAAAAATAACTCCAATTTTAAAAATTGTATTCTTTGTTTCTTAATTATTATATTTTAATTATAATAATAATTCTTTGATGTTTTAATTAAAATTATTACATATTTAAATAAAGGAAAATATGCGAAAGAATCTATATAATATCTTTTTATCACATGGCTTAAATAAAAAGTATTTATCTTTTCGGCCATCCTATTATTTAAACTACGAGTTTATATTATACATTCCGACATTTAAAATTATTTTGAAGATTCGATCGAAAATATATATATTTATATAGAGCTATACAGTATATAAACTTTGATTCTATTCGGATGCTCGGCCATTAATTATAATAATAATGGTTAACGCAAATAGGAATGGAGGCGACAAAGAAATCTAGTTGATTCCACGTTACTTCTACTATATTTTTGAATTAAAAAGATTGGGAAAACGAGAATGTGTCGCAATGGTTGCCTTCTCCGTCCACCGCAAAGTCTATTTTTACAAGATTTTAAAGTGTTTTACGCTACGAAAAAAAACCACGTTTTCCACCGTCGGTCGGTATAATTACGTACGGCGTAAGTAGAGTTAGGTTAATTAGAAAACCACTGGAGTCCAGTCGATCCGTCGGCACGTTATTTTTAATATATATATATATAAACTATAGTGGAGAAAACAAATATATATAACAAATGCTATATAATGCAATGATAACGATCCGCTGGAAAACGACGAGCGGAGCAATTAAATTTACAAATTCTTAACACCGATGGATATTTTATAACTACGAAAGCCACGCAACAGAACGTAGGAGTTTCCGCCGGCGCAAAGTAAGATGGCGGAGAAGAAAAGAACCGAAAAGCGCGTTTCCGTAAGGGGAGAGACGAGTCTCTCTCCGTTACGGAGACGGTGGGGCCACGGCGTGCAATTTGGCATGGATTTGTCTTCGACGAATACGAAGAAAAATATATTAAAATCGATCACAGCGGTCGGAATCCACTTTCTCCGGCCCAAGAAGGTTTCCGTCGCTCCTCCTCCCACGACCTACGACATTTATATATATATATAAATAGGTTTTACCGGGGCTTAGTTAGTAAGGGGTCGGTTTGGTCCGTGGCGCGGTGTCGACCGCCGGCGATCACAATTCCAAAAGGTAGATAGAAAAATTGCGAAACGACTAATGGTTGTATTTATTGTCAAGTTAACTCGCTGTATTCCGTCCATCCGTGATTGGGCGCTCCCAATCGAAGAATGCCCACCGATCGATCTTTCGAAGCGGTTATTAAAACTGGAAAAGTTATTAAGGAAGAGAGAATACCTCTTTTCTTAAAATAAGTTCGGTGGCTCTACTTTTCCACACGCCGTGTCCGAAACTCGGGCCACCGCCCGTAATTATAATAACCGTGCGGATTCTCGTACAACTTCGAATGCAATCTTTAAAAAATGATTTTATACGAATTAATTAATATATTCTTAAGCCGTCGTCTAAACTAAAACTTCATTTTAAAAAATTAGCGGTCCTATCTTTTACTGTAAATGAATAAGCGGGATACATGTTCGACGATCGCGCGGTTAGGACAGAAGCTCCGGTATTAAAAACTAAAGAAAATCGTCGGGAACGGACTATTTTACGTCGTTAATAAATAAAGGATACATTCGTCGTAAGGAGACAGATCCATATCTTGAATATCGCCCCTGTGACAATAGACTTCGCCTAAATATTCGTGATGATCGGGATAACGTCTGTACCTGAAAAAATTCGTCTCGTTTAAACTGGAAAATTTTACCTCACCACCACCAAAGTCCGCTATTACGTATTTCGTCTTTAGGGGAGAGCGGGTGAAGCGGCCACTCTAAGATAAAATGATTTCCTATTTGGAAAACTCGTTAAAATAGTTCTATATAAACTATATGTAGCCAGAAAAAATTTTATTTTTGTATTAGCGCAACGCGGACCGTTTTTAATTTTTACAAGTTTTTATACAAAAATGGCCATTAAAGTATTGCCGGGGACGTTGAAATTCCGTCATTTCGTACGGCATTAATGGCCCGCTGCGTGGCACGAGAATCCCAGCCCTGCCGGTTTGTTTTTCGTCGGTAATTGCGTCATCTACTCGAAAAATGTCATTTTCTGTAGGTAACCTTTAGCAATCTTAAATTATTAGGCTTTAGATTAAATTGCATTTAATCTTTATTGTATTTTTAAATTACTATATGGATTTATTACAGTTTTATTGATAAAATAATGTAATATAGTTTTTCGGGGCGAGTGGCCAGGAAGGTGGCCACTTTGCCCTCTTAGATGCCGTAACACAAATCGTGTCTAGACTAAAAACTGACCGAGCTACTTCGCTTTATTCCACACGGTATAAAGCCAAAAGCGTACTCTTTCGACGAGTTTAAGGTAAATAATTATAAACTTATTACTATCTTAGATAAAATGAAGAGTATCGTCACTAATTTTACATCAGACAAGATGAAAACCACAAAAACTTTACTAACACAAAAAGAACCAGCTCACTTCCGGCTTGAAATTCTTGCAACTAGACAACAGCGGATGGCCGCTTTATCTTGCTCTCCCCTATAGTTCATTTATTAATACAATTAATGACTAACGAAATTAATAAGTGCTCAAATTTTCCAATATATTTTTATTATAATTATATCTACCAAATGAGCCTAGCCACGACTCGACTCTGCGAATTTCTTCGCCTTACGCTTATTCCGTCTTAAGTAAGCAAATATAAGGACCCGCGACATTTTACTTTCATGGCTGCTTCCGCTCCTTAGCGCGATATAACGTTTCCGTAACATCCCGTATCGTAACGATTACGTTCGTTATATACTATATATAAAATTAAAAAAGCCGCAAAGGCTCTTATTCGACTTTCCCGGTACTCAAATAGGGACCATTAGGTAATGCGATAATTTTCAATTATACTACGATATAAAATATCAGTTAAGGCCAATTTATAATTTCTGAGAAAGAGAAGAAATATCTCTATTCTCTTCCCCTACGCATTTTTACTTTAAACAAGGAAAGAGAAACACGCGCGTATCTTAGGCATCTGACGGAGAGAAAGTACAGTAATTCTGTCAACTTTTCTCATTGACCAAAAGAAAACGGAAGTATGTTATCAGTAATGTGCCAAGTGTTGCGCGCTAATCCTATTTAGTGTTGTTTTCTCTTCACTTTTCTATTCTCACTAAGTACAAACAAGACTTTACTGTTAATAGTACAGACTAGTCCCAAAGCGACTACAATAAGCTGCACCTACCATAATAGATAAATACTATTCCGTCATTAAAATATAAATTTCAAATTAAAACTGGTGTTTAACTTCATTAAATTTCCAGTTGGCATTTTTAATTTACCAATATTAAGAATTTGGCTGGTCTCGTTACTTAAAACAAAAACTAAGAAACTATGATTAAATGAAATTGATTTGTTACTGACTTTATGACATTAGAATAAGGGAGATCAGAAAATTAAAATTTTATGAACTACTTACAATAAATCAACTGGTTAAAAAGGATTAATTAAATAAAAGTTTAAAAGTTGTTTTAATTACCTTCTTACAACTCCTCCGTCGCATGCTGTATACAGTAAACCACCATTTGATGTATACCTGTATTGAGGTAACATTAAAAAGCTATTTTATTCCAAGAAAAATTTACATTTCTAAATAAAATTATGCTTTGCATTAAAGCAAATAAAATAATAATAATAATAATATAAATAAAACATAATAAAAAAATATTAAATTTTTACTAATAAATTGAATTTTCTAATATGGTCTATTTAGAAGCAAATCATGAAGTATTAGATTTATCAAAGTCAAATTAATACAATTTTTCATTTATGTAATTGATGTTAAGGATAAAATTTAGTTTCCAAGTTATTTACATTTATAGTTAATAGTTAATAAATAATTTTAACAGAATATCAAACTGTTACAATGATAATAAGCAAGTTACAATTTTCTTGGATTATTAAGCATAAGTAAATTTTATCATACATTACTACAGAGAAAAGACACATTCACCATATATTTATATCCTGAGTTGTAATTAGAAGACCAACCTTAGAATTTTGGAAAAAGTAATAATTTAAAATCATTTTTGTTAATCTAAACCATTTGTTGTAGGAGGTTATTTTGAAAGTTTAACTGTCCCATTGAATATTCGTTAATGTTTTAATACCAAATTTCATCAGGGCCTTGCATTTAAATAAGTTTTTGTGAGCTAGCTGATTTCTGTTCTCTGAATTTTTGTAAGTGCTTTTCTGAACTTTTTACTTAAAAAAGAAACTGATAATATTATGGAGCCTTAAAAAACGAGTGTCAAGAACTGTGCTCACTGTAGAAACCAAGTAAGAGATAATAGCCAAGGTAGAAAGTGGGCACAAGATGTCTGATGTTGCTAGGCAGTATGGCTTGAACAGTAGGCACAATCTTAGCTATGAAAGAAATAAAGAGCATTTTAAGAGCTCATAATGGAACCCAAAACTGATCTGATGACAGAAGAACTCCAAGAACTCTCAAATGAAGAATACCAAGAAACTCGGCGAAATGTGTTTTCTTTCGAAAAAGAGGAAGACGAAAGAGGACTAATGTCGACATCTGCTACTGAAGATCTTTTGAAGTGGGAGGATGTCAGAACAACGATCATCCAAGTGGCATCCGAACTAGAATAGGGTTAATGGGGTTGGGGATCTCTATAATTACAATACTATTAATTACTTCCGAAAAATCCCAAAGAAAAGAGAAAAGCGATCGACATTGGACAGATTCTTTAACCCCCACAAACGAAAAAACATAACTAATAAAAATGCAAGACTGCATATATATGCATTTTTACTATTACATATAAATAAACGTAGTAAAAAAGTAAATATTTTTTATTTTTTGAAGTCTCCGGAACGAATGAATCAAATTCCCATAAAAATCTATGGTAAATCGATAATCAGTTAACGAACAAATTCTTGGAATGGATTATGTTTGTTAACCGATCACCCACTGTATACTTTTTACTAAATTTTAATCTATATGTAGAACTTTCTATATTTATTGAATGATCTCAAAATAAAAGAAAAAGGCATGAAATAACAAAAAGTGTATGTCAAGCATGTGTGTTCTAAGCAAACCTTCTTTGTGCTTTCTCACTTTGAATACAATTTGATGGGTTACTTGCTCAACTTCAAGCTTGACATTTTCAAACTCTCTCTGTACTTGTTTTAGTCATAATTAAGATTGAAGCAATCATTTTCAGTAATACTCTATATTCTTTTTAAAACATGTCAATGCATTTGGAAAGCAGATTAATTTTTCACTATTGTAAAACAAACTGGAGTGAGATCAGGAACATGAACACGTAAATTATAACATAAATGCCAACAGACATAAAAAAACACATTTTCTAAATTTTCTGTCAAAATAAAACACAAAATTGATTAAAGCAAATTTCTTCATTTTATATGCTGAAAACTTTTCTATTGAAGTATAGCCAAGAAGAGAAGTCTCTCACAGTGACATTCACTTTTGTAGAAAAGGTCCTATCTAGATTCAAACAATAACAGATATTTGCTAGCAAATACAAAAATCAAAAAACATTTAAATTTGAATTTGTTGCAAGATTTTATGTACATATTTGAGAATACAAAGTTTACTAGTTTTTAACACTGATTCAATATGAGGCTCTTGTTGATAATAATAATTGCAGATCATGCATTGGCATATTGTTAGATCTAAATCTCTTATCTTGTCTTCAAAGTATTTTACAAATTTATTAAAATGTCAATTATGAAATTTTAAAATAAAATGCTTTGTAAATCCATTATAATATTGACAGATTTAATTTTATCCCAATCTTTTTGTGTCAGACAATTTGACTCAATACTCTGTTTCATTCTTTGACAAGCTTTAACTAATATGAATCAATGATAGAAGTATAACATGTGTTAGCTCTCTGTTCACCCAGGTTACACCTCAGACAGAATTTTTTTTTTTAAGATAATTTGATACTATTGCAGATATAATTGCAATTTTCAATCTTTCATAAGTTCTGCTTCTTGCAGATTTTACTGTTATTTTTTAAAAATTTACATATTGTATTTGATACATATACAGTTGAACCCCGGTTAACGACCAAATCGGTTAACGAACATCCTGGTTAACGACCAAATTGGTTAACGAACTTTTATTTTGCAAAAATTTTGTCTCAGATAACGAACTTAACAGCTTTTTGTGTCAAATTTGTAAGTTTGCTTTCACAAAACTTTCTGAACCACTTACGGCACATGGAATCATCAATGACTCCCTCACCATACACATAACATATCTTTTTTTGTGTCTGCGAAGCATTCTTGCCTTTTCAGAAATAAAAAAGCATAATATATCGAAAATTCTCCTTATTTTCTGCCATTTGTAATGCTTAACAAAATTTTAAAAACACAACTAAGTAACACAACTTTATTCTCAAATACTAGCTGAGATCCCTTTTGTCAAACAACATCAAAATTTTACACATGTGAAAGAAATAACACTTCGGTGTGGCGTTTTTAGTCAGCTGGTGCTAAAAACGAAATGAACTTTTGCATCAACCCAGTAGTTTCCAGCTGTTCTGGAACCTCACAAATTTCAGTTGCTCTTAGGTGTGCGCGAGGTAAGCATTGTTTTTTCGAGTGTGCTAAACTTCGTTTTTTAGTTTTGTTATTTATACTGTATATTTAATCAATATGGCACCGGAGAAAGAGAAAAGTGACAGTGGAAATAGAAAACATTTTAGTGTAGCATTAAAGAAAGAAATTATTGCAAAATACGAGAATGGCATTCGTGTTTCTGACATCGCTAAAGAATATAATGTGGCAAAATTGACTATCTCTACAATTATTAAAAACGAAAAAGCATTTAAGGCTGCCGACGTGGCTAAAGGAGCGAATGTGATATCGAAACAAAGATCTAAAGTTTTAGATGAAGTTGAAAAACTGTTGCTAATATTGATCAATGAAAAGCAACTTGCTGGAGACAGTGTTAGTGAAGCACTATAATTTGTGAAAAGGCTAAAAATTTATACAATGACTTGTTGACACAGACACCCAGTACAAGTGCAGACAGGCAGGATTTTAAAGAGAGCCGAGGGTGGTTTGATAGGTTTCGTCGACGAACTGGCATTCACAGTGTCATAAGACACGGGGAGGCTTCAAGTTCAGCAAAAGCTTCAAGCAGCAAAAGCATCTGTAGATGAATTTGCAGAGTTTGTAAAAAGTGAACGATACGTCTGGAATCAAGTGTTTAATTGCGACAAGACCGGTCTTCTTTGGAAAAGAATGCCTAGACGAACATACATAACTCAAGAAGAGAAAGCACTTCCCGGGCACAAGTCCATGAAGGACAGACTCACTCTTTTATTTTGCGCTAATGCAAGTGGTGACCTCAAAATCAAGCCACTTTTAGTCTACAATGCTGAAAATCCCTGTGTCTTTAAGAGCGAAAATGTGATAAATTCCAAACTGCCTGTATAGTGCTAGCACATTTTAGAAAAATTTTGATTAAGAGAGTAAGACAATCAACTTTAGACTACTGTACTTTCTTGTTCCTTATCAAAAGAGACCTCGACTCTAAGAAACTCCCAATGCAGTGCTACCCGATATTTTTATGAAGGGGGGGATTCCTCTTCCAAGCATTAAGCTCCATAAAGGTATGTACAGTGCTACTTTATTAAATAAAGTTTACATATTTGCTGCTGTAATGATAGATACTACGTTTTCTTATATTTTCATCAAAGAAAACCCATTTTACAAATAAAATTACAAAAATACTGACGGCTAAAACGGATTAATTGTATTTGCATTAATTTCTATGGGAAAAATTGCTTTGGTTAACGAACGTACTCGTGGAACAGATTATGTTCATTAACCGGGGTTCCACTGTATTTATGTTAAAATTAGTAGTAAATATTAATTTTACAAATACGCCATGATTTTAAAAATAATCTGTGATTTCTTTCTTATTTTTGGCTGGAACATTTCAATGACAAAACTAATAAAATTGGTTTAGATTAAGCAGAGTGTGAATTAGCACAAGTTCAGATTAATGTGAGTTCACTGTATTAAATTTTATTTATTTTTAAGATTTATCAGATTATCCTATTAATAAATATATAAGGTATTTATATATAATAGAAGAAAATCTAAACTAGTCCAAAATATGGTAACTGCATTTATCTAGTTGAGATTTTTTTCACATTATATGTTATATATCTTATAATTCTGCTATATACATATCTATATCTGACTGCATACAAATTTAATTAATAATATCATACTGAAATTTAAGAGACCTATTTTCTTCTGTATTAAAAAATCTGATAACTTCAAATTTTCTTTACGCATTCTTTTATGTCTATGTTATGTTTATAATGCAAATTTTATTGAAGAATTCATTTGAAATATTAAAATAATTTTATGTAGTTACAATAGATGGCAAACCATAAAGAATACATTTTTCTCCAATTCTATTAGAGCAATATTCTCATGTAAGGCATGATATGAAGTATATTTGTTTAAACAGTACAGACACCCTAATCAGTAATTAATCTATAAAAGAGAAATATTTTTGTATTAAAAGTTGTGTCTATAATAATTGTAAAGACCTAAATTATCAAATCAGGAATGAACAAATAGTCATCTATACCAATAATAATTGTATAAAAACAGAATTTTTAATGCATAATAATATGAAAAGTTATTAGTAAACAGGTTAGAGCAAGAATCCCAAAATTTTTTTGACTGTCAAAGCCTTCAAGAATTTCTCAATCTTTAATTGACCCCTTTTTGTTTTTGCTAGTGCAATTAGTGATAATATAAATAAATAAATCTGATAAGTCAGTGTTAATCCACACATTTCCTTAGAAAAGATCTACTTACAAGGTACAAACCAGAATTACATACTGTTTAGCCATAACTTCTAAACTACTCAGTTCTGAAAAATGTTTGATGTCACTTTGACATAATCCCAGTCAAGACACACTTGGCATCTCTCTAACCACTTGTCAAAGCATTGTGCAAATTTGTTTTCTAAAGTCCTTCAAAACCACTGGAAAACCTTACTCCCAAGAGCAGATTTTGATGAATAATGTGCCCCACAGAGTGAATCCTTCAGGTTTGCAATTAGACAGCAGTCACTTGGAGCCTGATCTGGCAATTATGAAGGATGCAGCAAGATTTTGATAGCCTTTTCTATCAGAAAATCTCATACAACTTGAGTTCCATGAGCATTGCTCCAGTGCAAGACAAAATTTGTGTGCAAAATTGGGATGTCATTAATTAATTGTAGGAAGTAAATGTTTGTCCAGTATATCTTTTGCATACTAACTAGTAATCATATAATCTTTTGATAATGATTACATAAGAATCACAATCCATGTTTGTCCCAGAAAATGGTCATAGAATTTTGCTGTTGGAAACAACTTGTCAAAACTTTTGGGGAGGTGAGTAAGCAGCATGTTTCCCCTATTTTGGTTGGTGTTTGGTTTTGAGGTTGAGAAGTGGAAGCCACACTTCATCCATTGTGATCACATGATCCAAAAAGCAGTCATTGGTTGTAACATTCCTGGCCAACATTGACTAACTTCAATTTGAGTGCATTTCTTTTCATTATCCAATTGGCATGGAATCCTGTGCACAGAACTCTTCATTGTGTATAAATGATTAATCAAAATTGTTGAACAGTTCCATGTGATAGGCTTGTAGCATCAGCAATTTCGTCCATTGTCAATTGTTGCTCTTCCATCACCACCTGTTCCACCCAAGCACTGTTTTCAGAAATTGCAAGAGCAGGGCAACCAGAGTGTGGCTCATCTTTGGTGGAGTTTCTTCCATCTGAAAACTATACAATCAGCATGGGCAAGCTCCCCATAGATGTCCATTAACTGTTTGTGAATGGCGGCACTTTTTCACAAGTGAACAAAAATTTGATGACAGCATGCTGCTCCTGAACTGAAAAACTCCATGCTTTCAGACACACACAGAACAAGTTTACAAAAAATATGAATTACTCCACAACTGCTACTGGCACATGGAATTTCACAAGTCAACTGACAAAGGCTTGTTCAAACTTGTTCCAAGAGGGCATGCTTACATAGTTTGTAATTCTGGCATGCACCTCATACAATGTGCAAATTTACAACATACTATCAAACTGTCATATACAAAATTTATCCCACTGAACTAATAACTTTTAATAAACTATTTTCAATTAATCCCTGCCTAATTTTCAACCCCCAAAAATGTCTTATTGACCCCAAGAGTTGATAGAGACCACTTTTGGGATCTTGGGTTAGATACTGTTTTAAGACATTAACATTTCCATTATAAATATTTCTATCTCATTTTATTAAGATAATTAATTAATTATAATTAACAGAAAATTTTTAATATCATACCGAAGTTTCCAAACAGGTACACTGCCATGTTCTTTTAATCTTTCCTGTATGCCAACATCAGGAATGTAACCAGAAATTATATCACCTCCAACCATGAGAACACCTATAAATATTTCAATGTTTAGTATCTAATGAATTAAATCTTGATTAATTATTTGATTAAAAAAAATCAATATTAAAACTAAAACAAATAGTAATATATTCTATTTTTTTTTACATATAATTAAATTTATTTAACTATACTTTAAAAATCAATTATTATTACTATATTAATTAAACATTAAAACAATGCCAAACTTGACAATACAGAACCAAAAACAAAACCTTTTTAATCCAGCAATTATTTAAACACAAAAACAAACTTTTTGGCTATCTTAATTAGCCATCCTCAAGTCACATCATAGGACTAAGAGAGGCTGGTTGGTCCAACAAATATATCAGATGCCATCTTGGTTAGAGTGATATAGTAACTGTTCAGTGGATCAGAGAAGGCACATAACCATCAAGAGACTCAGGATACCTTAGACAGAAAACTGTTCAAGAGTATCGTGTAGTCAGAAGAGGAGCTACCTTCAAGCCAATATCAACATCACTAACAGCCATTTGAAGGCATTTGCCATCCTCCATGCATCCTGTATCAAGGAATACCATTCAGAGATGACTGGCAGAAGCTTGGATTAGATGACAACATCCATTAAGGTGCCTACCACTGACCTTCCAAAATAGGCAGAGCCATCTGCATTGGTGCCAAGCTTGATCATCCTCAGACAATGTCTGATTGCAGGCACATTATCTTTAGCAACAAATCCTGTTTTTTCTCAGTGCTGATGACCACTGCATACAAATATGGAGGAGGACTAGCTAGTGTTCCAATCCTGCAATTCTTGTCAAGCAGCACACAACCATCATTCATGGTATGACAGTCTGGTGAGCCATCTCTTGGGACAGCTGATCTCCTCTAGTTGTACTGCAAGGCAATCTGATGGTTTGTATATATGTTGATGACATTATGAAGCCGATTGTTCTGCCTACACTGTCGAGCTGCCCAGGTGGTGTTTACCAACAAGACAACACTTAACCACATAACTTAGTGCATGACTTTCTCAACGATGTCTTCAAGGATTTAATGCCTTCCCTGGCCATCCAGGTCCCCAGACCTATCACAAATAGAACACATCTGCAACATGCTGGGATGGCAATTGCAGTCTTCTTAGAATATCACTGAATTAGCTGACCAGTTGCAAAATTTATGACAGAATTTTTCACAGAGACAAAAGTGCAACTTAATTGATTGTGCTGCACAGAATAATGATTTGTCTAGCTGCCAAGAAAGGATTTACCACTTACTAAAATGTCATCTTGTTGCTGCTATTTCTCAATAAAACTTTTTTGCTCCCAAATTCTAATCATATGCATATCTCCTCAAATAATACATAAATGCTAAGTTTCACGGCTGTAGCTCAATTTATGAATGTATATACAGTGAAATGTCCATTAACGGACACTCCCGAATAGCAGACATCTCTACTTAATGGACATTTTTACAATCCCCCAGACCCTTCAAATATGACATCTATAATATTTACTTCTAAATAACAAACACCATCATCCATAACCTATCTTACAAAAACAAAGTCCCTCCTTCAATATTCTGAAAGAATTAATTACATACAAAAGATTTTAAAACTAAAACAAAGAATAAATTCAAATACTCTTTCAGAGGACAAGTTTTGACAGTAGGAGTCAAATAAAGACTGGCTTAAAATAGGAATAGGGAGGAGGGCAGGTTGTAAAAAGCTGAACAATACTCTATCTGTTAGAGAAAACTAATCTGGTTAAATTGTCAATCACTGTTTATCATCATACATATTAATGTTATTAAACTTATGTCTTATTGTTGAAATTAAGCTTATGGTACCAAGAAACCATAAACTTTTCTGAAGTTATTCATTCATTTGACAAGAACCGTAGTACAGTAGTAATGAAAAAAAAAACTTAAAACAGTTAGGACAGCAGTATTTATATGGCAAAAGTTCAAAAATCATGTTAAGAAGGCAATTTGCTGACCACTTTAAAGTGTAAGAAGCTATTCAGTTTTCTTGCATTTATGACATAATTTATAATCTTAATATATACATATTTGATGGAGCCCATGTCTAGAGAAAATTGTGTGTATTAAAACTTTCCAGTTGAACTTGCATAACTTCTGCTGAGTGTGGTCTAGCATCATGGAACATCACACCATCTTTTAGTTCTGGTTACCTGTCTTCAATAGCAACTTTCAGCTTATCTGATCGTTGACAATATTTCTCTGCAGTAATGGTTTCATTAGGTTTTAAAAGTTCATAATAAATTATTGTTTTCTGATCCCACCAAATACAAAGCATTATCTTCTTTCCATTCAATGGAGACTGCACTGCCAGAATAGATCACTGTTTTTTCCTCATGTTGCTGTATAGTATCCATTTTTCATCAACTGTTACTTATCTAGCCAAAAATTAGTCATTCTTTAGCCTTCCACTTGGAAGAACACACATATATACCCTAACAATTTTTTCTCTGAAAATATATGGAGCATCCATACATCAAACCTGCTAACCATGCTGATTCTTTCAATATGATCAAAAGCTGAAATCCAAAGTTTTGCTCCATCACAATTTATCTTGATTGCTTCTTATTTCTGCACAAATAAGATCATCATCTATAACTGAAGGTCTGCCTGAATGTGTTCATCTCTATAAGAAAGATTTCCATATTTATATCTAGCAAACCCTTTCCTGCCGATACTAAATGAAAGAATGATTTCTGTTATTTATTAAAAATTTTGGAAAAAATATATTTTGCCGAGCAGGAAACACAGTCACTGGATTTAAAAAAGCTTATCTGCTCAAATAAAGTTTGAAATGCCAACTGTTGGATTTAGAATCTCAGTTCTGTAGGAATTTTTCTTGCATTAAACAAAATGCTACTAATAAATAACTTCTTACTACTAAAATTTAATCCATTTTGAAAAATGTAAATTTTTATCAAAATCAGCACTAAACTTACTATAAAATCCATCTTCGGCACCTGATCCATAAGATTCTGGTGTCGGAGCTATCGAATTAGAACCATGACCCACTTCAAAACAATGCAAATAACGCTGGCCATCTAATGTTGTAACCTAATAAAATTACTTTTATTCAATGTCAAAAATTTTTGAAATTATACATATAACATTAATATGATTTAAATTACCTCAGGCAAAGCAACATAATATAACAATATAATTTGCAAAAAAAATTAAATTATCAGTGGTTTATTATTCAGTGGTTTTATCCACTTGATCATTGGTGAACTTATATGTGAAATTGCATCGCTCATGTGCAATTGCTCGTAGACTAATGAATTCCTAAACAGCCTTCAGTACACTATAGGTAACCTTTACCTAGCCCTATCAGTGAATTAAAATAATATTGTTTAATTTAAACTTATTATTAGTCTAGTACAGGGGTTGGCAGTTTGTCAAGTGAGAAGAGCCAAATTGTCATGGAAACAGGATAACAAAAGTACCAGAGAGTCGCATATATATACCAGAGAGACACCCCCTAGTGCACATTACAGGCATTCCATGACAATAATAAATTCCTATTACAAATATACTGAATTATTTATATTGTTATTGGCCAAATGAATAATAATAATTTATACTGTTAATGTAAATAATACTTTATATTGTTAATTTAAATGTGCGAAATATGATACACGATAGGGGCACCTCTAATGGCCGTTTTTGGCATAACGTTACACGAACGGATGGATACATGTTCAATGGGTTATATATATAGATATGCTTCAAATGCTACCACTTGCATGCAACTCATATTGATCAACGCGAGTGTGGTCATTTGCGGATGGGCTAAAGAGTGATAGAGAGTATGCTGTACGAGTTGAAGTTTGTTCAGCAGCTCTATCTCATAAACTCATTTTTCTGGTCCCAGGCTTGCCAGATACTTAATCTAGTATTGTACCATTTTTTGCTAGAGCTACAGTTTTGGATATTAAAAAAAATTAAATGTTAACCTTTATTTTTTAATGGTAAAGTTTAAATTTAAGTGACTTCTTTTAAACTCATCTTTTTCCCTTGATGAAAAGGTAAAATCAGAATTCATACTTTATTTTAGCAGAATGTAGTATGAGTATATAGTAAATATAGTAAAATAAAATTTGGAGCTGATTTCAAGTTATGAAAAAGAATTGCACACTAAGCTTAATTTACATGTACAAATCAATAAAATGTTAATAATCTAACCTATGATGAGGATAATGTATTAGCAATAAGTAGTGATAAGTACAGAATAAAAAACTGCAAAGTTCAGTTTACTGCTATTCATTCTTATACAATAGACATGTACAGTATAATACAATGCTTGAAAATGCAAAAGCTTGTTTTGAAGATGTGGGTTGAAGAAGAGTTAATAAATAAAAAGAATTTAGACAAAATATTCATAAAAATATACAAACATATTAATGTATACATTGTATTCATTAATATTTTTTGATGTCATCATTGACTTGACTTCAGATACCATCACACTAATGTTATGGTACCATACATGAGAAATCACTTCTTACAGCTCTTATTCCGTTGAAGGCCATGCTTTCTGAACTTTGAGAGAACACAAAAGACAAGACATTTTCAATTGGTTTTGGTATAGCAAATTTCTGGCCCAATCTGCCACTCATATGCCCACTTCTGAACACCCTTTTCATTTGAAAAAGAGTGAAAAGATGTGTAATTGATTATTTTAAAAATATTAAACACTTTTAAAACTAGAAATGTACACTTACTTATCTACATGTATGGAAGTATGCCGAATCTTGTTAGATATCACTTAGTCATGACACCACAAGATGCACTTGGTTGAACTATACTTTTTGCAAGAACAGTTACATTTAATTTGAATTCATTTTGCCATCCACAAAATAAAAGTTTCCAACGCCACTGTAGGTGAATGCATTTCAAATCATTACTGAAAGAACATACCAAAAAGTATTCTCTTCAAGTAATGATTTGAAATAAATCTCGCAAGTAACTCTGAGTAATGTGTTTTGTCCACTTTGTAGCATACAAGTTGGGGTTAGTTACTAGATAAGGAAAAATGGCCTTCATTTAAAATAAGATTTGTTGCCATTGTTCTTTTGTCCATTTGCAATGCTTTTTGGCCCATGCCAATCTTGCATTCTTTTTTTTTTTATGTTAGTAACAGTTTTTTCTTTACTTTGTATTAAAAAATTCCTATTATATGGATAAGGGGTAATGAAATTCTGTATTTCTTTTCTCTGTAAACCTTACAAGTAAGTTAGAAGTGCTATATTGAAATTCTCAAACATCTAAAGGTGTTCAATAATGATGACTTTATTCATTTAATTTATTGTTATAAATGCATTTCAGAACGACAAATTTAATTAGCACTGAAGAGGACACAATAACCTATATTATTCTGAAATGTATTTGTAATAATAAATTAAACAAATAAAAAAGTCATCATCATTGAAAACCTTTGAATGTTAGAACGGTAAGGTTTACAGAGAAAAGAAAGGTTAAAAATTTCTGCTTCATAGAACCTCTTACAAACAACATATAAACTTGGGATCACAGCCATATTAACACATGGCCAAGCCAATAGGATTTCAGGTATTACACTCCTTATGCATGCAATAATGTACAATTTTTCTTTGTTTCTTTGTCACAAGATCATATGCACAAGGATTTTCTGCTCTGATGTCATAAAAAATGACTTAATGGAGGTTTGTCAGATAGCACAATGCAGTCTGCAAATTGTTACAACCTTAAATGCTTGTGTCTGTAAGATAGCTTGAGGCACTATGACTAACAATTTAAATGTTTCCACAGGTTTATTTCATGCCTTAAAAATACAAAAAAATAATTTTCTAGCCCTCCCTTTCATTATTTATTTCCAGTTTAATTCATTTCACATTAACCCACACTATCACAAAGTTTGCAGGACTCTCTATAGGACATAATTCTATAAACAAAATAATATCATAAACTAAACAATATATGATGTTGAAATTTGGCAAATGCAGAGAAGACATTACAGGATTTTCGAAAATAAATCAAATTCAAGAAATGGTAATTACATGCAAAGTAATTACGCATGAAAAATTAGTAGAAAATCACCACCTTATGCAAGAGATGGTGTAAGAAAAAAAACTGCATGTGAACATGAGTTTAAAGTTAGATGGATAATGGAAATTTAATTAAATAATTAATTATTTAATTAAAACCTTTAAATTTGAAATAAAAAACTTTTGATCAAATATAAAAAATAGTTAATAGAGTAAATAAGCACAGATCATTTGAGATTGGGTAGTATGTAATAGGTGTAACAATCTAATGTAGATATTAATTATCACTTTTTGTATTAAAGCATAATTTTGGAACTGAAAAAATAAAAATTTCACTTATTTTCATCTTAGTGCTTGCTTTTGATTTTGACATAACTACCTTTAAAAAAGTTACTAAATTAAATATTCAAAGATAAAATTTACATATTAATTATTTATTAGAAAAGAAATATCAAATATATAAGTTTTACTTTTATTTGTATAATATTACTTGTTATAAAAATCACACTTACTTTACACACACCATCACAAGATAATGATAATATAGCACTCTGATGATTCCGTACAAATGGCCAACTACTATGGAGAAATGTTATGTCACGGATGACATTGATATGGAGCTGAAGGAAAACAAACAAATCTTTTCAAGGCAGTCAATTTTGTTCTCAATTAATTAATTTCCACACAAGTACAAGAACACAAAATACCTAAATTATCATCTAATTCAGTTAATTGACAAAATACAGTGTAGTCTCAGCAGTATAACTCTTCAAATCTCTAATCTATCTAATATATACTCAGTTTATCTCATTATTTTAACGTTATTTTTAAATTAAACTCACTTACATCATAAATAAAATCCAATGGTAAAGGCATTCTGAGATCAAACAATGTCAATCCCTAAAGCAAAAAAGTAATAAGTGCATTGTATGAACTTATTATTACTCTTATTAACTAAAATTGAAAACAAAATCCATTGAAATCTGAATTTTTAAAAATTGAAAATATTTCACAAGGATTAATTAACCACTAGGAGATAGCTTGAAAGTTACATATTACCAGCACTTCTTTCAATGTATAAATGGTTTAAGTATCAGTATGGGTCCAATGCAATATGGATGGAGAACTAAGATGACCAATTCCACTTCACTTTTGTTTCAATTTCCAATTTTTAAAAAGTGTTTTATTTATTATTTTTTAATTGGATATTTTTACATGTTTTCAGAAAATTTTAAAATTTTTTGAAAGAATTCTAAAAGAAAAGATCAGGTCATCTTACTATATATTCTGGATGATGATAATGAATAAAAGGTGACTTTTTTCAATGAACTTTGTCTTCAATTTTATTTAGTAAAAAATCTTACAATTAAATACAATGAAAACATTGAATATAACATTTACCTTTCCATTAACACAACTGCAGACGGCCATATTGGGACAAATGGGATCAGCAGCAAGGCCTGCGCGGTCTCGTCCATTAAAGGCACCTAACACATTTAAATTTAAAATATTTGTGATTAATATATTCTTTTAAATGATCATCATACTAATTCAATAAATCTAAACAAATCCTTTTTACAATCCAATAATCAATTTTTCCCTTTCTCACAATTAAAATTCTCTCTCAAAATAAGAATGATATATAAAAAATTAATAATACTATAGCAGTATCTTATTCTATATTTAACAGAAGTTTCTGTCCAATTTGTTCATGTTTATCTCATAATGTTTTAACTGTAGAAAAAAGATTTGAAAACCTACAATTTAATAATTAATAATATTATAATGAAACACATTGATAATATAAATTAAAATTAAATACTTAAATCTTAAAATTTCTAAGTTAATTTTGAATGAATTTATATATTAAATCTGAAAATTAATAAAAAATTTTAACTTACAGTTGTCATACGACATGACCTGTTCTCCACGTTCCACATCAATAACGGCAAGTCTTCTGGCTGTTGTTGCTGCCAAAATCTACAAATAAGACAAGTTTTTACATTAAAAATTTTAAAGATTTCCTTTAACTGAAAAACAATCATTAAAAACAATAATTTTATTACTGGTTTCTTCTTCTTCATTTTTTTTTTTTTATATAATTCAAACTCATAGTTCATCATCCAATGCTAACTTTTTTACATTTAAAATAATAGCTGCAACTTTCTTCACTAGCAAAATTTACCATTAAATAAACCTTATTGAGATACTTAATAAAGTTAACTTTATTACAAGGTCATCAAGTTAAATCTGGAAAAGTCACCATATAATGAAAAAGAATTCAAAAAATAGAGGAAAAAATTGATATATTCTTACAAAAAATTAGTACAAAAGTATTACAACATACAAAATGATATTCTATGTAGCTTCCTTCAGCTTCCACAACTTTCTACAGCTTTAACCTGAAATGGTTGCAGGTGTGATTGATCCATGTTTGTCATCACCTCCACAATGGAAGCCTTTGAAGAATCCTTGGTATTGTGATGCTTTGCATTTACCATTGCCGCTACCATGCTTCACGTGTAGTATTTAAGAGAATTATAGTCAAGGTTGAACAGGTGACCCAAGTGGTGTGGGATGTTACCTTAAAGCCAGGCATGCATCTTCCTTGTCTTGTGAGATGAAGTGGAGCCCTGTTGGAATACACACTCCTCCCAGCATCCACTTCATCCATCCAGGGCTTCACAACTGTCTCCACCCAATGATGTAACAGTCAGTAATCATCCTCAAGTCCTTGCTGAAAAAGTGAGATGCCATGACATCATCCTCACTAATCATCTACCAGGACGATCAGAGAGACAGAAAATTTGGTGTGCATGACTATAGGCACACCAGAGAAATTCTGGCAGATCCAGTAGCCATTTTGGCAATTCAGCTTCCTGTCCTGGATGAAGTCTTCTTGTCAGAGAAGAACCTCAAGAAGCCAGCACTATTATGCTTGATGTTGTTCAGCAGAGCCTGAGTCTTCAGTTTTCTATCCTTGTTCTTGTCAGTAAAGAGCTGGTGATTCCTAAGGACCAGAGAATGGTATAACAGGTCCTCAGGAACTGCCAGACTTATTGTCAACCTTGCCATGCCCATATCTTTTACAAGGTCATTCATATTCTATGTACCGGTACCATCCTTTCCAATCGTCACCATCAATTTGATTACGAATACCACACTTCTCTTGCAATCAGAATGTTTACTGTGAGTTGCCCTGTCAGGAATCACTCTCATTGTTGTCAAACTCTCTGAACTTCTTGGCTATGTTGTAAACTTGCATCTTCCTGTAGTCAAAGCATGCCATGATTTGTGAGAGCAACTTTCCAGCGTGAAGCAATTCCAGTATAGCAGCTCTTCAGTCATATTCTCATGACATGTCTGAGCACAACCCCAGTTATTGACTGTTTGGTGCTTTCATCTTCAGGTACTTGATGCATGCATAAACTTTCATCAACAATCTTATCTCCAAGACTGCCCACAAAGAAATTCTGCATTTACCTCAATAACCTTGTATTTATGTCACTCATAATGTATGAAGGAAGTGAAATAGACCAGAAGCAAGCCATAGTAATAAAAAAAAAGTGAACATTAGTTCAATTCTCAAAGATATAAAAATATATAAGCACAAGAACACACAGTGAGTATATTAATTCATTGTGAGACACAACTTAGGAGTGATACACAACCGAAATTGTGAAAGCATCTCTTGCATTATATGTTCATGTGTTTTCAGTGTTTTTTTAGCTTTATTTTTGATTTTGATATATATACACAGGGTGTATCTAAATTAGTGTCCATAAATGTAGAGATGTGTTCTTGACACCTAAAGATTACAAAAACTTCATATGAACATGGGTCCAAAAACCCTTTGTTAGGGAGTTATAGGGTTTATTGCTAATGGTACATGTGAGGCATTTAACAACAGATTTACAAAAATTGCTCAAAGTGACCTCCTCCTGCTTTGATACATTCCAAGCCCCGCATTCCATGCTTTGCCATTGAAAATTTCTGAAGTGTTTCAAATTTGGTCAAAGCCATTTTGGATATGTTCCCCTCAGAACATTGACATTAGGTAAATTGTCTGGTAATGCTATGGAAGTCACTCTGAATAATACAAAACAGAAAAAAAGAAAAAAAAAATGACAATCAGACAAAACAAATGCTATGATGACCAACTCTAAAGAAGAAAGTGCATAAAAATGCAAGTTTGAAATGACTTACATAATCAAGAGTCACTACAGGGAATTCTTTTCATAACTCTCCAATGAAAGATTTTTGGACCATGTTCATATTGACTTTTTGTAATGTTTTTGTATCAGGAAAACATCCCTACATTTATGAACACCAATTTAGATACACTCTGTATATAACCCCCACCTATTAAGAAATGTATGGGAGCAACTACTTCTAAGAGGAATATTATAGAATCAATAATTAAGGTGAAAAAGGAACTTATAGTGAAACATGAAATGGTACACACATCTGCAGATCTGGCAGCCATGTTTAAGATGATGAAGTTGACAATGTGCACCACTGTCAGGAACAAGGAAGCAATAAAAGCAGCAAACATGGCTAAAGGTATGACAACACTGACCTCCAGAAAATTGATGTTATTGAGATGGAAAAACTCTTCCTAGTATGGTAAATGAAAAGCAACTGGCTAGTGATATCATCTCCGAGAGGATTATTTATGAGAAAGCCAAGCAGCTGCACACTGATCTTAAAGATTATCACTCCTCACTAAGATGCAGTAAACACAATTTTCATTTTATTATACAGTATTTATGTATTTTTTTNAATTCTTACCTGTCAACAATATATAATAACAGTGACATTAAGATGGAAAGTTGCAGCAACACACTGAGGAACCATAATACGTTGAAAAACTCCTAAAAATTTTTATAAAGTAGACGAATTAAAAACTAATAAAACTACTAATATTTTATTCGATTTACTTATAAATATATCGTACACACAAATACTAATAATATCCAAAGTGCATTTATAGACTTGAAGATACAGTATAACAAAAGTTTACGTTAACCTATCTTTATACTATAAACCACATTTATTAAAGCAATTTATTTCTATTACTGTCGCCTGTTTATAAATTTAAATTTTTTGCTAATAAAATTTCTTATTTAATCGTTTTTAGGTTTACCTAAAAAAATAATGAGAGAAAATAGATTTCAGGTGTTTTTTTTGCATATTATATTATATTGCATGGTTTAATATAATTTTTAATAAACCGATAAATTGTAAACAGATGATATGTGAACACATCGTGTTTAACTAAGATATTACTAAGACATTATTTGCAGAAGTAACAGCAACTCTACTAGAGATACCCTGGTGTTCACCTGCACTACATTTGACTATAGAAAAATAATAATAATATATATTTATAACAAAATATGCTATGACATGCAGTTTTGTTATCTAATCTCATTAATATGTTCAATGTAATGGTAAATGTGATTGTTACTTTATTAAATTCAAATGTTTTAAAACTTTAATATTCAAAATTAAATGTGCCTGATATAACAGCCTTAGTGGATGCTTATAATAATAACCCATATGGGTTGACGCTAGAATTAGAACAATCTGACCCCGCAGAGGTCCATTTCCTACATATAAATATTAGGTTAGAAAAAGATGGCATCAGCACTGCGGTGTACCATAAACCAGGATCTGTGTCGTCGTACATCCCTGTGGAGTCATGCAATCTGGTTTCCTACAAGATGGCGGCATATAAAGCCTTAATCAGAAGAGCCTTCACACATTCTTCTAACATACAGGCTCGTGATAAAGAGCTAGTGTCTATACAGCGAGTTGCCGCAGAACATGGTTACTGCAAACATATATGTAAGACGATACAAAATTATAGCTGGATATATGTAGATAGCGCACGGCTGGTAGACCAACACATTGATAACCAACCGGAAGACATAGAACGGATCCCCATCACCTATAACCCATATGTAAGATCTATATACGACAAGATTGCTAGGAAGCGCCAAATATGTATTGCTTATAGGAGGTGTCCCACTATTTTTAACATCTTAAGTAATGGGAAGGACCCTCCTAACCCCAGTAAAAGACCAGGAATCTATAGTGTCCCTTTGAGAGATAATAGATTCAATAGGGATTTAGTATATATAGGCTCTACTAAAAGATCCATAGGCATCAGAATGCAAGAACATAGAGCAGACATTCATCATGGGAGAACCAGCATGGCCCTTGCAACATACGTAACAGACCTGGACATAGTTGCCGACTTTAATAGAACCAATCTTCTCCTTGAGGTGCCTCCCAATGAACATCTCAAGTGGTTAGATGCGATGCACATCTTTAAATCCTCTATCGAAACTATGTGCATAAATTTTAAAGAGGAGATGATTTTGTCGATGGCCTGGCAAGAGTTGATACACAGCACACTTTAGCCGCTCGTTATATCCAAGCAGGCAGACCTGTCAAGCATGCGCAACATATAAATTTAAAAGAACCATTCAAACTCAAGAACAAAGTTATTTGAAAAGCATTCAGTAATCGAATTTACGAGCTAAAACTGTAGGAACTTGATGAAGAGCCCAGAAGGGGTTCAAAAATGTTTGTTTTTGTACTTGTTAGTCAATCGTACTACACCATAAACTGGTTCAGTATATGTGACTTTAATATTCATTTAATAATTATAATCATTAATATTTTTAAAATATATTTTATAAACTTAAAAAAGTTCTAAAGATTATAATCAAACTTACTCTGGAACCATCACTGGTAAAACGAACAGCATTTACATTTCTTGCTAATCCCATAGTTGTAATCTTAAAATTAGAACAGCAGATGCATTTAATTATTTTAACATTAATATTAGAAAAATTTATTTATTACCTGATAACACATTAGCAGTTCCATTCGTTGAGCTGAATAAAGATTTACTTTGCCATCATAAGCTCCAGAACAAAATAGATATCGATCCTGTATGATATTTTTATATTATAAAATCAGTACACTAAAACTAAACTAAGTTTTTAACATATTTTTGAAAAGTTACTAAAAAAATCTTACTTATCAAAAATGAAAAATTCTCTAAATATTGATTAAAAAAAAAAATAAACAACTAAAATGGATTACATACTCTCGGACTAAAAGCAACTCCACGAACACTTCCCTGATGGAATTTTAAAAATTTTGGAGTCCCTTCTTGCTGCATTTTAAGAGGTGGACGGCTACTTATAATATTTGAATTTCCTTACTAAAACAGATTTAAAAATTAAATCATTTCAATTATTTGTTCACAAAAATAGTAAAAATTTATTATTTTATAAAATAGTAATTTTTTAAAAATAATTTTTTTAAAGTTATTCAAGTTAAATAATAATCTATAACTAAATATAATTCAGAATAAAATAATTTAATAATTAAAAAAATACTTTTTAAAATTTATAAACAAACATTTTTAAAAACATTCACACAAACGTTAGGAAATATTAACATAGTAACTTTTTCATACTTTCAAGAGTATAATATTAATGTAAATGTTTCTCATTGAATAGGGCAAGAATGGGCAACCTTTTTCTATGTAATGGCTGCATTTCAAAACTTTTCAACTGACGCAGGCTGCATACAAGAGAAAAGAGGGGGGAATTCCGGTAAATCACAATTATTTATTCGTATATAATTATAAATTAGCATAAGTATACTTAATTTAGCTTCTGGAACTGATGTAAACATAATATATTGGAAATATTTAGTCACTGCTAATATTAAATTAGTTTTGATGTGAGTCTATTAGATGATTTCTTGTTTTAATTTTTACTAAATTCATTGCGGGGAAAACTATTCACATACATAAGTTGTATAAAAAAATGTTTGAATTTTTGCTGCATACTTCGTTAAGCTGGGAAATTGATATATTTTATGCAACGCAGGCTGCAAAAAATATTAATTCAGGCTGCATGCAGCCCAAGGGCTGTGTGTTGCCCATCACTGGAATAGGGAGTCAACTATGTTAAATATAGCAAACAAACATTTCATTTCTAACAAAATGTCTATTCAGTTACAGCATTAACAGAACTTAAGAGATGCAGTATTTTGAATTATTCTAGTTCTTTATGGCCCAATTCAGATGACATGCATCAACATCTGCCTAATGCCAAAGTAATCAGTTTTTTCAATAATCAATACCAAAATAATTTTTTTTAAATGTTATTTATATTATAAACAATACCATCAATTGGTTTAATTAATACAACAGTTTTTAGACATTTTAAATGACTTTCCTCAGGCATTTGAAATATAAACACACAGACAGAATGAAATGTATAAAATGGTGAAATGAAGAACAACACTCAAAATTAAATAATAAACATAACTAAAAATCAGATACATATAAATTAAATTTTAAACTTTAAGAATTCCTTATCCATTTCCAGACATCAGAGATGAAAATGTCCTTAGAATTGATACAAGAGCTTTTCAAGGTATGCTTATGGATTTGTGCGGAATCTGCTGATTTAGCAAACCTGGGATCAAAGATGTTTTAAAAGCTTGGCTTTGTCCTAGAAAATCTGCATATCACTTACACTGACAATTTAATATGATTATCTCTAATTAAAGCCAATTATTTGAACATAAAAATAAAAAACTTTTGAGCAGTATGGTAAAAATGGTAATTATGTAGAAAAGTATGTAAAATATGGAAAAAAATATATTTTAACAATATTTACAGTATTTTTCTTCTTATCAAAAAACGGACCTTATTTAAAAAATAGCCCTCGTATATGTTATATTCTGAGGTACCTAAAAATAATTTTATTAATTTTGAGGTGATATCTGTATATTTGGAACCTGACTTCAACAGAATTTTTTAAATTTACATGAAAAAATCTATTAAAATTTAACTTTGTATGCTTTCAAATTCTTGGCATTTGTATAATAAAATATCAATTTACTATGGTCTCCAGAGTAAAAATAACAAAGCCAATAAGTTGCTGTTTAGTATGAGTTTTAGTATGAGTATACAACTACAATAAAATATAGCAAATCAGCATCCTTTTTTCTGATCATTACTGTTTTTTTCTGATCATTTCAAATTTATATAAAAAGAATTAATGATCCATTGGTTCTTTGTCAACAATACTTGCTGTCAGAATAGTAGCCATGATAAAGATTTTCTACTGATTTAGGTTTTTTGGAGCAAACTTCAAACAGCCCATGACAGGATGTAAGAAAATGTGTGTGATTCAATCAAGATCATAATCAACATGTCATAAATCATCTGATCTTGTTACATCAAAAAGATACAAGTCAAGTAAAAAGTGGCTTTATTCTTGTAAAACACAGTATTATACTGTAATATGACATTCAAGTATTTTCTTTCTGAATATTTTTTTAGAATATTTTCAACATTAAAATTTTAGACAGTTCAGAAAACAGATTTACCTTTATCACCATCATAAATTATATTAAACTTAAATATTAAAAAAAAAACTTAAGTAACAAAGTCAAAAAGATGATGATGATAACTAAAAACTTTTAAAATTTCTTAGTTTTTCTATTGTTTGTTAATATACTTTTCTCAATAACTTTTATTAATTGGCATTAAAACTGCAAGCAGAACAAAAAAATTATTATTAAAAAAATTATACCAATCTACATTTTTAAAAATATATTTTACTGTTATAAAAATATATTTTAATTTCATTATTATTGCAAATACTAAAAATGAATAACCATCAATTATTTTTAAGATTTTACAAAAAGAAACTCTTACTTTCTGAAGTCCTACTTTGAAACTCGACAAGTTTCTTTAGCATATCCATAGCATTAACATGTTATAAAATAACCTACATCAAAAGGTCAATTTTAGGTTATCTTTGGCCTAGATTTATTTAAATTATCAACATAGTTCAACAACAATCTTCAATTGATACCAATGTTAATCTTTGTCTTAAAGTCATCAAGCTATTTTAAAAAAGAGCAAAATGAATATTCATACAATTTTCTCTATAATTCCATTCTCTCCAATATACAAGATAGCCCAAAATTCAGTTAATGATATTTTGTTTCACATGTTCTAAATAGGGTTGGCAATACAAACTGTAAATCAAGTATTTAACAATACTGTTTTTCTGTAATAAAACTGATAGAAATATGATGAAAAAATTTTATATGATTAAATGTTTATGTATTTGAATAAGACATTAAATTTGTCTTTAGAATGGTTAACAGACTTTTGGGCCACCCCTTATATCTAACTTCTGTTACTAAATATAATTAATAATCTATAATATTTAAACAATTTTTAAACAAAAAAATATTTTAGAAGTATGCAGTAAAATTAATAATTATGAAAAAATTCATTAGTAACAGAAAAATATTTCANGTATTTGAATAAGACATTAAATTTGTCTTTAGAATGGTTAACAGACTTTTGGGCCACCCCTTATATCTAATTTCTGTTACTAAATATAATTAATAATCTATAATATTTAAACAATTTTTAAACAAAAAAATATTTTAGAAGTATGCAGTAAAATTAATAATTATGAAAAAATTCATTAGTAACAGAAAAATATTTCACAATATTAGTTTTCAAATTATTAAAATTCTTTTGAAAATAAAAAAGGTATTCCAAATATCAATATTAAACTATGAATCAATTAAGCTAACTTAGATAAAAATATTCATCTACATCATCATAAATTAAATATCATTTTGTTCACTTTTTATAGATTTGTCATCTTCCACAATACACCCAACTTCAACTTATCAACTTACACCCAGCATTTCTAATATCATAACTATATGCTTATATGCTATAAACATTTTGGAAGTTAAGAACTTTCGAAAAGTTTTGAATAAACAAAAATCTTCAGGTATATAGTTATAGCTTTCAAATCTGAATAATAATTCTAACATATAGTTTCAACATTAGCAAATCACACATCATAAATAAGTTACCTTAATTATGATTATAAAAAATGACTTAAATTATCCAAATAGCATCATCATCATTATTCATTGGTGTAATGGATCTTAGACAAATGTAGAAATTATTGTAAGAAACAAAAACAGATCACATGTGATCTGTAAAGTTTTAACTGTGATGGAAACAACATTACACAATTGATCTAGCATTTCAAAATTATAATTATAGTAAAAATTGTTGTTAGAAAATCATACTGGACGTTACCTATATATCAGACAGCTTAGCATTCAAAAGTAAAGTCAAGTTATAAATGAAAAAATTAAATAAAATGACTTCTCAGTTATACACCTCTCATTTAAGCAATTCTTTCAGTTATGAGACTTTTTCATTGGTCTTGGTTGAAGCCAAGGAGAAATAATGTTTAAAATCTCTCATTTGAACAACTTAGTTAAACAATTCTCTTGGTTCTGTTCCCCTACAAATGTTTCAGACTTATGTATTTTTCCCTCATTTTACTGTCATGATTATCAATCACAATACTGAATGAGGTCACTTTGCCATAGGTCAAACAGGTGCCCAGGTAGATAATAAAGCAAAAAAGATTATCATACCGGACATAACATTTGTTTTTAGAAAGAGAATGGCTGCTGGCTATATGTTCAGATAAAACAAGTGGTAATGTCATAACCCTTTAGAAACCATTGTCAAGTATGTCCAGACTATTGTTGCATTCTCCTAAAGCTGTTGTTTGGCATAAATTGATGAAATAATCTTGGTATGAATTTTGCATTGATTATATTTACATGCATATTTTCCAAATTTTAACAAATTGACTATCCCTAACATGTATTCTATCTACATCAAAATCATCTTCTTGCAGCCAACAAAATTTACAAAATCCACGTATTTCCAATTTCCACCCTATGGAGATTTTAACACCAAGAAAATACAGTATTGTACTTTGGTCTCCACAGATGTACTTTTACAGCAGAACTTGGATATGCACATTAGTTTCTGGATAACATAGGTAACAACATTGCCAGATTTAACTTTACTGTTTCTTTTAAATTCAAAATAAAATGCTTTTAACTGTGGTAATCTTTACTGAAACAGTTATATTTTTAACATTTTTTTGTTCAAATTGGTCAATCTGTTTTTTTTTCATGACTCTCTCACTTAAATGACTTTTATCATTTGTCCCTTTAGAGTCATATAACTGAGAGGTCACTGTAAATAGGAAATTTTGTTAATTTAAGAATATGGTGTCTTTCAACACTTAAGAATTTGGAGGTTTTCATTATCAAATGTAAAATTTCTCATGTCTGGAATTGTAAATAAAATACTTGAAATAAATTAGCAGCTTTCAACAAATATAAAGAAGGTGCATATAATATATAATTCACATTAGAATATATTATTTCAAACTTTTTCATTAGTTTTAACAATGAAATGTTTCCCAATTTGTTTAATAAGAAAAATTTCTCTGATATAAATAAATATTATAAATGATACCAAATAAAGGTTATTTCAAAATCAGATTATATGTTTAATTAATACCAGTAATATGATATTAAAACAAAAATGAAATTTGTATCATCACTAAACATTTGATACATTCTGTGCAAATAAATAGTGCAACTGCATCTAATTTTTTTCTTCATACATTCTTTTAATATAAGAAATTTTATTTAAAAATAGTAATAATAATTTGTTACAGTAACTTTAATTATGTTCAATATTTTTATATCTACTACAATTAGCAATACTGAATTTGTTTTATAATTTATGGATTATTATTAGCTTGTTATTGTATGTGAAATAAACTGAATATTTACTGAAAGCTAAATTTAACATAATAAGAAAAGTTAAATTTTAAAAAACAAAACTTTTATAAATATTTAAATTAATAATATATTATAAATATAGAATAAATTTACCATATCATTAGACCCACCTTTTAAATGGTAAAATGCTCACAATTTGGAAATAAGTCTTTCATTTTACATTATATACTTCTTGATCACCTTTATATCTATTATTTACTTATTTTCGATCCACTCAATCATCTCATCAGTACATATACAATTTTTTAAATTTTCTTCAGTCAACTGAAGACAAGCCACACAAATTTCAGTCCTGCATGATTAAAAATGTTAAAATTAAAATCTTGGTGATGTTAAAGTCTTTACTCCATGATAATAAATAAAGTTTTGTTTAGAGATCAAATGTTAATTATAAATAAGAAAAAAAATAATGGAATAAATATTTTAAATAAGAAACGTTTAATAATTAAAAAATTATGAGATTTTTCATTAAATTTCAAATAATTCAAAATACTGGATGACCATAATTAAAGTACCCTTTTCAAAGCCATCTAGAAAGATATTTAGTAGTCCAAATGCAACCAAATCTGGTAGGGTGACATTTCAAAACACACAAAAAGATATTTTTAGTGACTGGCATGTTATTTTAAATCAAATAAATTGAAGACTTTTTATAATTGAACCAGATATTTAATGGAAAAAAATGTATGCCCTATTTATAATTATTACCAGAATATGTTGTGCAAAATAAAAAATCTGCACTGCTTTTTCAAATAGCCAAATGTTTTATTATATATAAAAATGTGTTAGGTCTACAACTTCATTATAGAAAATTCTTAAAATAAAACATTGATCTATAGTCTATTTATCCTAACTTGGCAGCTACTGTAAACAAAGATTCTGTCGTATTAATCCACCGAAGATTTTCATTGGTCAAATCACAATCGGAAGTGGCTCGACACGTGTTGACCAGTTAAGCCCCTTTCTCTGCACGTGTTAAAGTAGGTCAAAGTTGTCACAACAATTTAAAAATTACCGAAATAATACAATACTTAGAAAAGTTATTATAGCTTACTTTAACATTTTTACGTAGCCGTTTAAATTATTTCCATCGTTTAAATATAGTTTGTCAAAAATTATTATTAAATATATATTATTAAGACTTACAGAAAACATGTATGAATTTATCTATGTTATATTTATATAAATAAAAATTTTTTAAAATAATTATAGTGTAAACTTACCTTATTAATCATCTGTATCAGAACATAGTTGCTCAAAGTAATCATTTATATNATTAACAGCCTGTAATACCTTATCTACAGTAGGTAATTCGTTTAAAAAATAAAAATTGTGTACTTTACCTCTAATGGCACATTTTGTGAATTCGTCATATTTGTCAACGAGTTGAGTACGCTTACGGGTTTTCGAAGGAGTTATTACTTTACCATTAGTAAAATATTCTTTACGAATTCTGTAAATGCTCCGTTCTGATATCCCTGTTGTCTGTGCTACCATTTTCACTAAATCCTTCACGCAGACTTCTGGATTCGTTTCAGTTAAAGAATTAAACAAATTTAATACTATTTGTTTATCCGAGCTCCTCAGCGATTTTCCTTGCCGATGTTTAATCGTATTTACATTCAAGTTTTCCATTTTTGTAATTCAACAACACAATTTGAAATAACGGTAGTTATTGCAATGAATGGAAAAAGAAACAAAAACATTATAGTGCGCATGACCGGAAAAAGTTTATTTCTAATGATTCAGAATGTGCAAATATTTATTAAAATAACAACTTAACAAATATGAAATAATAACATTTATAATCATTGCTAAGTGAATAGCATTTCATTAATGATTTTATAAATAACGAAGAACTATTTTCTGCGGACGAATGAGATGCAATACGATTTTTAATTGATGGACATGGGTTTAAACCAATAAACAAAGGGAGGTGTGTCTTAGTTTGTTTACAGTAGCTGCCAAGTTAGGATAAATAGACTATAAATGCTATAGAATCAAATAACAGTTTAAATTTAAATTAGCATGTATAAATATTAAAATATTATTTAAAATAATCTAAGTAAAAGTTATATACAAAAATACATAAATAAAATGAACTAAAACGATATATAGTTTTACATCAAAGATTTTAAGCACAATACACATTTTATCTATTATATAAGGGCAAGGTAAAAAGTTCTCGGCCTAGTAGTGATAAAATGAGTTTTTTATTTTAAAAATGCATTTATTTCTCAATGTAGTCTCCCTTTAGTTCAATACATTTTGTCCGATGTTTCTCCAATAACAGGATTCCATCCCTGAAGTGTGATTCTGGAAGGTCTTCAAAATATGCATTTACATTGCTATCACCTCTTCACTTGACCCAAAATGTTTTTCTGCCAAAAATTTCTTAACATTTGGGAATAAATGAAAGTCAGAGGGAGCCAAATCTGGCAAATAGGGAGGATGTTCCAACAATTCATACTTCAAATCCCTCAATTTTCCCATTGCCAAAGCACCTTTGTAAGCGGATGCATTGTCCTGGTGAAAGAGGATTTTTTTCTTTTGTGAGCCAGGCCTTTTCTCTCTTAATTTTTTCATCTAGCTGATCAAGAAGATGTGTGTAGTATTCCCCATTAATTGTTTGACCCTTTGACAGGTAGTCAATTAAAAGAATCCCTTTGGAATCCCAAAAAGCACTAACCATAACCTTTCCAGCTGATGCAATTGTCTTTGCTTTCTTCAGTGCAGAGCCACCAGCTTCTACCCAGTGCTTGGATTATTGTTTTGACTTGGGTAAAGTGGTGAACCCATGTTTCATCCATCATAACAAATCTGCGCAGAAAATCAGTTGGATCCTTGTTAAAACAGTGCAAACATTACTGAGAAAGTCGATTCCTCATTTGTTTGTGATCAGCATTTAACAAATGCGGCACCCATCTTGCACAAGGCTTTCTCATACTGAGTTCTTCGTTTAAAATGAGCCATACCCTTTCTTATGAAATGCCTACAGCCTTAGCTATCTCACACACCTTTAATCGTCGATCATCTAGAACCATATAGCGTATCTTCTCGATATTTTCTTTGGTAGTTGCAGTTTTTGGCCGTCCTTCACATGGATAATCTTCAATCAATGTATGACCATATTTAAACTCCACTGCCCATCTTTTTACTGTTGATAACGAAGGTGCAGACTCCTTACACACTTTTACCAACTTTGGATAAATTTCTGTTGGCGATAAACCATCAAAAATGAAGAATTTTATGACGGAACAATATTCAAGTTTATTCATTTTGTCAAAAAAACACACAATGCTTACTTTAAACAGCCGTATAAAACAAACTATTTGTCTGATCAAATTCACATTTGGTATTTACTTTTGTAATAAGTCTGAAAACATAACCAGACGATACTTTCATTTGTAGTAGCGCCATCTATATGTTAGGCTGAGAACTTTTCACCTTGCCCACATATAAACTTCATTTACTTAAATATCAGAACTTTTCATTTTACACAAATTCACTTTTTCAGGTTTTAGTATCATTGAAGGTAGTGTGTGTCTTACATTTGATGGTAACTTAGACTCAATATAATATTTCATAATTAGCAACATCTATAGTGTCATTTTAATGATTTTATTGGATTAATATTCATAATAAATATATTTCAGAAGGCAACTTAGTTCAGTCTCATTGCTCTATTACAGTAACATCGTAAATACTTGATGAAAATCCTAAAAAAGTCGTGTCTTAAAAAATGTTGCATTTCCAATGCTTTAAACAGCACTGAGTTGTGAGCATGATTGGTTGTGTGAACATTGAATTTTATGTCAATTAGCATAGTTTTAGTGAACTAAAACTATACTTATTGACATTAGATTCAATACAATGTTCACAAGTATTAGTTTTAATAAACTAAACTAATACTCAGGAACATAACTAAAATAATGTTAGTATTGATTCAGAAGAGCTTAATTCAGCAAGTAATGAGATTTTCATTTTTAATATCACAAAAGATAATGATATATAACTTTACTTGCAATAGATATTGAACATTTTTTATATAAATTTATCAACAATGTTCAGTATGAGTTGTTTATATAAAAACAAATAATAATGAAAACCATGGGTAAGCACAAAAAATTAAGGTATGTTTTAGATTTGAGTAAATATGATATATAAAATACTTACCTTAAAATTGTCAAAAAACATTTTTCCATCATGGAAAAAAAAAAATAGAAATGGCAGCATCAGGAATTGACGAATTATCAGAAAAGTTTTAAAAATGTGGGCAAAATATTGTTAACAAGTATAAGGAAAAATGGTCAAAATAATAATGAAGTCAACAATAATAAGTATACAGTGGGTGATCGGTTAATGAACAAATCGGATAACGAACACTTTCGCGAAAGATTTTTATGATCGGACAACGAACACTTGACTGAACAAACACAAAAAGAAGAGACGTAAAATAACGAATACCGATTGGTCTTCCTTTGTCTTCAGGCAACAATTCAAAACTTTTNGCTATTTTCACTTATTTTTGTTATTTGACGCTATTTAGACGAATAGGCAAGTTTTCCGAAGCATAAAATTGAAGATTTTTCGCCAAAATAGAAACTTCCCGATAACATCGGAAATGACGTTCTAACATCATTTTAAAATGTTCGATATCTAAACCAGAAAGTGTTAGCTAGAAATAGACTTATTTATAGAACAATCCCCCATTTCTCACCTCAGGGAAAGTCATAAAACAGTTGGGTGCTAATGACTTTGTGAAAGGGAAAGAGCTCTACACTTAGAAACTTCAAAAGAAGGGATTTGGCCTGTACGGCGGGCCGCATAAACATTGATAAGGGGCCGTATGTGGCCCGCGGGCCGCAGGTTGTGCACCCCTGGGTTAACGAACAATTTGGATAACAAACAAAATCTTGGAACGGATTATGTTCGTTAACCGATCACCCACTGTATATGTATAACTAACCATATACTCTGCCTGCTATTTTGAAAACATTCTGCACTTGCACAGAATTTTATGTATCTCCACTTTAATGTATTTTCAGTATCTTGTGCATAAAAAGTATCCCTATTTAAAGTGTTTACTTCAAGCATGAATAAGCAAAATAAGTTCAAATTATAATTTTTAAATTATTTCAGATATATTTCTCAATTGTCAGCATTTTATAACCTTCAGCCTTTATGCCTTATTGCATTTATGTACACAAATGGAGGTCCAATAAGGTACTAAAAGTTCATTTAAATTATACCATTATTCTACAAGTAACTGCTCATTTGCTATAATGTTGTAATCAATTATTACCATCTTTATTACATTCACACTAATATATTTTCATTGGATTCTGACACTTCTTCCTTGATTCTAAGTTTTTTGTCAATGGGTATTTAAAAAATTCTTTAAAATTATATTAGTATTTTACTACTGAAAACATGTATTTAATAACAATTAAGCATTTAATAATAAAATTTCATTTTAAATTAAATCAATAATATATTATTGTAAAAATATAAATGAAATCTTGCATACTGAACCTACAGTATTTGGAATAAATAATATATAGTATTAAATACAAATATAAAACTTACAAATATAATGTTAAATAAATCAGTATTAATAATATATTGTTGCTTTTTAATTTGTTTCTAAATTTAAAATTTAATATATATGTTATAAGGTAATAACAATAATTCATTAAAAATTATTTATCAATTCACAATTGAATTTTTACAATATGATTTCATAGATTTATTTTAAATCCTATATAATATAAGATTCTACAGAATCACTAAAGAATTTTACCTTATAGATAATACATATCCAAGTATTAAATTGACTCTTGACTGTTAACTTTATATATCCAGAAAAATTTAATTTAGGCTCCATCTGAAAGAAAATATTAATATAAATGTCATATCAAAAACTTTAAAAATCAATTTATCATTATTAAAGTAATAAGATTTCATCAAAAACAAATATTTCACTTAATTAAAATACATATATTTGTATGTTTTCACAAACAGTAAAAATTAAATTATTTATTGAAATATAAAATACTTTATACATTTCCATCATTCATTCATGCAGAAAAATTGCAGGTTAGCCAAACAAAAGTTAACTTGAAATCAGGTGTTAGTTCATACCTGATCAAATATTATGTAATTGAGCAGCTTATCTTCTAATTTTGCAATTTGAAATTTATTAAAAACTACTTAAACAGCTTTTCCTTTCTTATTAAGAGCATATTTAGAAAACATGAAAACTCTTTTCTATGCCAAAACACTTTTATATTTTAACAGAGTTCCCTTTTTTACTCAACTCATAATTTCTCTGACTTTTCCAGGTTTTACCCGACTTTCTCCAATATGTTTTCCAGTAAAATTTTACCATATTTTCACAGATTGACTAACATGCCACATATAACTGGGGAAGATCAGCATGCTGAAAACCCTGGAGTTACTTGCATGCCAGTTAAACTGTAACTAAAAATTAAAATTATTCAGATCTAAAAAACTAGTTGTTAAATAAATGTTGAAGAACAACATTTTTCCTATAATAACAACATTGTAATTTGACTGACTTATAACCAGGAAGAAAGTTTTGGTTTATAAAGTAATAAAACAATTAGCAACTTATTGTCAATAGTAGTAATAGTTAATCAGTGCAAGTTGCACTGATAATCTGCTGCAAAAGAAATAAAGTTTTACTACCCTAACCTTGAAAGAAAACTCCTTCCTCTCAAATTTCATACTAAGTAGATGTTAATAATATAAGTAGAGATAATTTACAGTGAGTTTCTGAAATTTAATATGTTTATTTTTGCATTTTTGGATCAAACTACAATAAAATAAACATTGAAAAATTGTAAATAATCCATGAATATTTTACATCACCAATAGAAAGAAGATAAAATGTATAAATTAAACATATAATCTTAGTTTTCAATATAGTAACAACAGTTTCACAATTTTAAAATAGAAACTGGTGACTATGAGATACCACACAATATAACTCTTTTAATCTTTTTACACACCCTCTGGAGAGGTATGTATAACCTCACATAAACCAACATTCTGACCAGACAATCTGCAAAAGTATAATACACTGAGTGATCGGTTAACGAACATAATCCATTCCAAGACTTTGGTCGTTAACCGATTATCGATTTACCATAGGTTTTAATGGGAATTTAATTAATTCGTTCTGTAGTCCCCCAAAAATAAAAAATACATACTTTCTTACTATGTTTATTCATATGTAATAATAAAAATACATACATACATACATACATAGTCTTGCATTTTTATTAGTCATGTTTTTTCCATCTGAAAGGGTTAAAGAATCTGTCTAATATCGATTGCTTTTCTCTCTTCTTCAGGATTTTTCGTAAATAATTAATAGCATTGCAATTGTAGAAATCCTCAAGCTTCAACCTGGTTTGGATGCCATTCTAAGACTGTTGTTCTGACATCCTCACACTACTTCAAAGTATCTTTAATAACAGATATCGGCATTAATCCTCTTTTTCAGAAGAAAACATATCTCGCAGAGTTTCTTGGCGTTCTTCTGATGTCAGATCCATTTCAGGTTCCATTATGAGCTCTTCAATGTTCTTTATTTCTCAGATGTGATTTTTGTTACTCCTTTAGCTGTTTGAATCTTCTTGATTATACTGTATCTTTCTTAGATAAGACTGAACTGCACCCTACTGTAGATTTGTTCAAGCCATACTGCCCAGCAACATCAGACATTTTCTGCCCACTCTCTACCTTTGCTATTTTACCTTTCAAAAATAAAACTCGATGCAAAACTTAACAAGTGCCCGCCCGACAGTCTCGCATATACTATAAAAGAATCGTTTCTGTCAGAAAAATAAAAGGCTGGAATTACAAGAGAGAGTTTCAAAGTTCAGAGAAATACTATCCGATCGGTATATACTGGCTCGAGTGTCGATGTCAACGTCTCCCACACTCCGAAAAGTTTCAAATTGTTACCTGAATACAAGAGAAAATCAATCGGTATTCATTATTTTATATCGCTTCTTCTTGTATTTGTTCTTTGGGGTGTTCGTTATCTGATCATATGTTCATTGTCCGAACATAAAAATCTTTCACGAAAGTGTTCGTTATCCGATTTGTTCATTATCTGATCTGTTCGTTAACCGATCACTCAATGTGCTATTTTACTATCATAAATCAATAAGTAACAAAGCTATATATTAAGTGAAAACAATCATTTCATATAAAATGTATCTCCTAAAAATATATCTGATACCTACTCACCACACCAAATTAACGATAATGACACATTCAAAACTAATTGCAGTGTGATAATAAAACAACGAAAATCATTCATTTTCATTGTTTTATTGTCACATTATTTTATTCAATGGGCATCAGAATGCAAGAACATCAGACGGATATTCGTCATGCGAGAACCTCTACAGCCCTTGCTACTTATGTAACAGATCCAGACATAGCAGCAGATTTTTCCCTGACCAATCTCATCCTCCTGCATCTCCCACTTAACATCTCGAATGGTTAGAGGCTATGTGCATTTTTAAATCCAGCCTCACAGCTACATGCATAAATTTTAAAGAGGAAATGGTTTTGTCATTGGTCTGGCAAGAGCTGATTCACAACTCGCTCTAGCCACTCATTTTGCCTGAACACACCGACTTGTTGCACATATGTGACATGGTTTTTTGTAGATTTTTTTTAACTTTTATTTAAACGTTATTCCATTATTGAATAACCATCTAGAAATGGTTAAGAACCTGATGCAGAGCCCAGAAGTAAGTTCGAAAATGTTCATCTTCGTTGTTTTATTATCACACCATAATTGGTTCTGAGTGCATCGTTAAATATTTAATACAGTCAAACCTTGGTTTTTAAACTTAATTCATCCCTAAAAGTTGTTCAAAAATTGATTTGTTCTCAAACTGATACAAATTTTCCCATAAGAAACAATGTAAAATGAATTTATCCATCCCTGACCCCCAAAACAATCTTTACTTTACTTTTTTAGCTGTATTTCAAGCATAAAAATGCCTACAAATGCAATATATTATCAGCTATATCCCTATCATTTATATATATATACATACACAGAGTGTATCAGAATGACGTTTTAAAAATTTAGGGAATTGTAGAGGATGAAATTTTGAATGTTTTGATATCAGGAACCCATAGCCGGAAATGTGATATAAAGTTTCTACAGCAGTAGGAAGTGCTTGACCACCCTTCACTTTGGTAGCTACCCTTCCATCCATTGATGTTATGTTATTGTTTTTGACTTCTTCCGCTGGGGTTATGTAAAGTCCCTTGTGTACACAACACCTGTAGGAACAGTTCATGAGCTTACAGAGCATATCTTTACAACATTTAATACCATCAGAGGGGAGTGTGACATCTTACAGAGAGTCGGACAAAACATGGTTCATTGTTGCACATTATGTAAGAAAGTTGGTGGCTGTCACATTGAACATTTACTCTAAAATAGTGCAGCCACTGATTCGATGTACAGTTTAATTGTACTCTACTGTTTTTTCAATAAAACTTGTCATAAATACTGTATTCTGCTGTTTTATTCAGAATACCGACTGCAAAATGCAAAGTGCTGTAAAAACTTTATAACACATTTCCGGCTATGAGTTCCTTACATCAAAATGTTCAAAATTTTATCCTCTACAATCTTCCAAATTTTTAAAACGTCATTCTGATACACCCTGTATATATGTTAAAAGCATAATGTTTTGTCCTCGCCAACCAAAACCACTGGTTGAAATATACGCAAATCAATCAAGACGAACAACAAGTACTTTATCCACACTTTCCAAAATAGTGGAAAGCACAGAAAGTGGACCCTTATAATATATCTGGCCAACTCTGCTGACCCTTGGTCATATAAGGCATCCGCTTTCCATACACTTGTGGCTAGAGACCATGCACATTGTACATAGCTCTTGAATACTAACAATGAGCTAGAACAACTGAAACATATCGCATCCAAGCATGGGTACAGCCACTCATTTATCAACAATATAACATCTACATATCAAGCCAGGTCAATCAACACCAATACTAATGTTAACAACACAGAAGAGAAACTGGTAGTCCTAAGTTATGAACCATCCCTCCATAGCATATACAGGAGTATGACCAAGGATTTAAACATATGCATAGTGTACAAAAGGAAACCCACTGTGTTCTGCCTTTTGTCTAATGCGAAGGACGAAACTGAGGACACAAGAGCACCTGGAGTTTACCACATTCCACTACAGGATGACAGGTTCAACAGAACACTAACATACATTGGTTCCACATACAGATCATTACAAGCCCTTTTACAAGATCACAAGTACGACATGGCAAAACAAAACATCAATAAGGCCCTGGTCTGGTATGTTGCCGAGCTGGAAATTTCCCTCTTAGGGGAGAAGGCTACCCTAATACACAGGGTATTCAACAGACAATGTATAAGAACAGTAGAGGCCACAGAATTCTACAGGGCCGACATAAGAGGATCACGCATCAACACGGATTACATTCCCGTCCAAATCCAAGGAAGTATTATTTAGACTCTTGAATATACATTGCTTAATATATGTCACAGCCGTTGTTCAAACTGATTTAAAAATTATACATACAACGTGGCAACATTCTATAAATAGAACAGTTATTTTTCGTTTGGCTTTTCCTAATGAAGGCCGATTAAGGAGTGGCTGAAAATGTTTGAATGTTGAATTTGGGTGTTTTGCTGGAAATTTGACGTTCAGGTGAGTCTATATCACAATTTTGTAATAGAATAAATAAAGATTTTACTTGTAATTTTTTAAAAGTAACTTTCTTGATAAAAATCTTTCTTTTTTTTAAAGGAAAACCTGG